AAATATTTTCTCCCAAGATATAATTAATTCCCCTAAGAACAAAAGAGCCTGGACCAAAATTTCTCATTATCACGCTTTTGCAGCTCTCTTAGTCCACTTCCATTCAGCAATGGGCATGAGTCCATGTTTAAAAATTGGATGAAACATTTTGATGAGATTCCACACACCACTCCTTTATAGGGATGGGAGTGGAAACATTGGTGCTGTCTTCCGAGGCACTGTTTCGGGTACAAACATGCACACAGCAATCAGTGTGTGTTTGCACACTTTGGAATGCAGAACAGAGCAGCCACTTAGTTACTATTCATAAGACATGCAATCCAAAGAGCATATTGTATCTCCTGGTTAACCGTTCATTTAAAAACCGTAAGAATGCATCTTGGCAAAAGGTTAGGGAATTTGCAGCACTTTGGTGGTGGTATTTTTAAATTTAGAAAAGGATGGATGGTGTATTAGTTTGCTAGGACTGCCTAACAAATACCACAGACTGAGTAGCTTAAACAACAGAAATTTATCTCCTCATAGTTTCTGGAGGCTGGAAGTCCAAGATGAAGGTGTCAGCAGGTTGGTTTCATTTGGTGGCCTCTCTTCTTGGCTAGTAGATTGCCATCTTCTCTTTCTGTCTTTACATGGTCTTTTCTATATGTGTGTCCTAATCTCCTCTTACAGGGACACCAGTCATATTGGATTAGGGCTTGTGCATATGACTTCATTTTACTTTAGTTACCTCTTTGAAGGCACTATCTCTAAAAATAGTCACATTCTGAGGTACTGGAGGGCTGGGATTTCAACAAACTTGAGGACAAATTCAGCCCATAAAAGACGGAGATGATTATAAACTTAGTTTCCTTAAGTTAAACAATACCAGAGAAAAGAGCTCAAGTGGCAGATTTTTATGTTTGTTTATTTAGTTCATTAGTTTTAGTATAGAAATAGTTTATGATTAGGGGCTCAGTATTAACTGTTGCTTTTTTTGAGACCTTGTGCTCTCTTAACCATTATTCTAAAAATACACACCCTCATCTTTACAAGATTTACTCTTAAGAGTGATTAATCTGCTATAATTAAGATGTAACCTTTTCAAAGTTTCATTGAAAATAGCAACACAAGTGCCATCTCATTTTAAAGAGCCAGTCCTTTGAGTTTAGGCACACAGAAAGGCATTTCCTACAAGGGCCCTAATTCCATTATACACATTACCCCAGGCTTAAAGGGAAAACGGGGTTCTCCTTCCTTCTAGGCAATGTCTGATCCCTGGGAAAAGCATGGGGTTGGTGCAATTTGAAAACCACAAAAAGCTGAATTTGAAAATTAAAGACATTCTTAAATTCACTAAGCTCTTCCACAGAAAATACACCCTCCACTCAGTTTTCAGTTTGGTTAAAAACATCGGTTGATTTCTGCTAAGAATAAAAATGGTGTAAATTCACAAGAACAAAGTAAACAGGCGAGAAGCCATCAGTGGGTGAGCAACAGCAGCAAATACTGGGAAGAACAGGAAGCTGTGGACAAAGCAGCAGGGCTGAGAAAGCTGAACACCAAGTGCATGCAGAGGACAAGTTAATTCTCACCATGATGCACAGAAAATCCCAGCAATTAGAGGTGCTAAGTACTGGGGAAAGCTGGGGTGAGGCCTGGGATGGAAAACAGGGAAATTGGCTGAAACTGGTTGATTACCACTCTGCACCTTGGCAGAGGCTGATAGTTTATTTTGTGGACTCACGCTGGTTTAATTTCTCCAGACTAGGGGGCCCCAGGTACAAGAGTATGAGGGCAAGGCACTGTACTCAAAGTAGGTGGGTTAATTTAAATCTGCACACTGAGTGTTGAGCAACCAGAATACTGGCTGCCCGGTGGATTTCTCTCTGGATGCACTGAATGGCCCCAGGCAAAAGGCCTACAGATCCTAACATCTGGAGGGCTCCAGTGAAACAGCAGCATCCACACCTAATCACCTGTGCAATGAAGAGTCACTAGTAGAGAACAGGTTGGGCTTGTCCCCTTTCTGATCAGTTTTAAGTGTTTTAAGTATATAAGGAGAGCCAAAGATCTTTCCAAGAAAGCCTCAAACATGAGAGGCCAAAATAAACCAAAAGTGAAGACAACAGAAAATAGAAAAAGCAAAGTAAAACAAAACAAAACAAACATAAAATACAACATCCCCAGAGATGTAAGAGATATTTCATCGAAGGAACAAGAAGGGAACACTTCAATGGAAGGGCTGGCAGAGAAAGCAAAGGAAATACCTTACACAGAAAGCAAAACAAAAAAGCCAAACAATTGAGAAAGAAAATCAGAGGAACCAAAAGAGCATATAAAATCTGAAAAACAGGAGTTCCAAAAAGAAAGAATAGAGAAAACAGAGAGGGGAAAAAAAAAAAATCAGAGAAACAATACAAATATAGCTCCCAGAATGGAAAGACTTTGCTTTTCTGACTAAAATGGTCAACAAGTGCAAGCATGAAGAATGAAAAATAGACACACGACACACACCAACGCACATGATCCTGAAAGATAAGGCTGGGGATAGAAAAAGTCCTGTAACTTCTCAGAGAAGCCCTTCCCTCCACCCAAAAAAGGTCACATATGGAAGACTGAGAATAAGGATGGCACTGGACATCCATAGCAACTCTGCAAGCCAAAGAAAATATTGACCAATGCCTTCAAAATTCTGAGGCAAAATTAATTTCAACCTAGAATTCTATGTCCAGCTAAACTAGGTACCCAGATATGAAAGGGCAGAATAAAGACACAGAGACTTGAAAATTTTACCTCATATGCATTCTTTCCCCAGAAGTTACTAAAGATTGTGCCCCATTCAAAAGAGGGTGTTAAGCCAGAAAAAAGAAATGCGTGGGATCCTAGAAATGAGCTTTCCATAAGAGAAATGAAGGAAGGGCCCAGGATGATGGTTGTGCAGTTCTTCAGGACACCCAGAAAGCCAGCTGGCTCCAGCAGGGATGTCTGCCAGGTGACTTCATGTGTTGGAGAGTGTAGAAATTAGTGTTCAGAGAGAGGTTAGCACACTTTTAGCTGCAAGTTTCTAAAGATCCAATTCAAAACGGCCTTAATGATAAATGGGACATTTTATGAGCCAGAAGTTCAGGAGGATGGCAGCTCCAGGAGTTGATTTATTCCACAGCTCAACATCATCAAAGTTCCAGATTCTTTCCATCTTTTGCTCAGCCATCCTCAGGATGCTTTCTACCTTCTCTCATGGCTGCAAGATAGCGCAACAGCTCTAAGCATCCAATCTGCACATACTGAAGTCTGCCAGCAGGAAAGGGACTCTTCCTTGTGGGTCTGAGCTCTAAGAAACCTTTCCCAGGAAGACCACTTAACTTCCAAGGTTCACTGGCCAGGGTCCTGCCTAAATCCATCACTGACTTAAGGGACAGGCCCCCAGGATTAGTTCACACCAGTGCTCTTTTGCACAAGCCACAGAACGGAAATGCTTGTATGGCCTGGTGGAGCAACAGATGAGGCTGTTAAAATCTCAGCATTTCTATGACCCGCTCAAGGCATACTGGGTGGGAAACACTGAATCAGGCCAGTCAGGGTACTGTAGCCATGGGGAAAAGGTGGACACCATGACTCTACGGGAAGCTTACTAGGCTGAAAGAAAAGAGGAAAATGGTGCCTGCTAGAGAACAGTTCAAGCAATTCTGATGAAAAGTTTGGGAAAAATAATAGGAATGTAGAAGAGTAAGCAAATGAAAATAAGTGAGGCAATTATTAATTCCAAAAGAAATAAAATGGTATAGGAAATGTAATAACAGTCCACTACTTAATTCGGTATTTAACAATTTGTTGGCATAAACATGTAAACCCTAGTTTACCCAAAATGACGCAATTCTATTGGGAAGATAGAAAAGAAATGAGGGAACAGTAGTGGTGAAAAGTCTTAATCTGTATTTTCCCATAATAGGAAGTCAAAAGAAAATGCCTAAAACTGATATATTAAAAAAAAAAACACAAAAAACTAAAAACTTTATATTTAAAAACTTAGCACAGGGGCCGACCCAGTGGCACAGTGGTTAAGTGCATGCACTCTGCTTCAACGGCCCGAGGTTAGCAGGTTCAGATCTGGGGCGCGCACCGATGCACCGCCTGTCAAGCCATGCTGTGGCGGCGTCCCATATAAAGTAGAGGAAGATGGGCATGGATGCTAGCCCAGGGCCAGTCTTCCTCAGCAAAAAGAGGACTGGCATCGGATGTTAGCTCAGGGCTAGTCTTCCTCACACACACAAAAAAAACAACAAAACAAAACTTAGCACAGATAAAAGAAATTGGAAGTAGTTGCTTCTGGGGAGGGCAAGGCAGGGGTGTGGAGTGGGGCAGGGGAAGGATTGCTGCTTTTGTTAAAAGTTTTCTCTGAACATCCTTCCTTCTAATTCAAACCCTATAGGCTTCAACTATTTTAGGGATGGTCCCAAGGGAGAAAGTCTCATCATAAGGAGCTATTTACTTGGAAGGCCCAGATCCAAAGACAGGGAGATTTTCCCAGTGACCTTGACCTTAACACTGCCACCCACTGTGATCCCCTAATTCATCTAGCACATGTGTCCCTACAAGCCTTAATGTACTCGAGTGGCTTTCAAGCCAAATCTAGCATGGAACCCAACCCATAAGGCAGCTAGGAATGCGGCTGCCCTGGTTGTAGAGTAGCCCCCTCCCTGTACTCATCAAGGCCCTAATGATTCCCAAAGTTCAGTTCAAAAGCATTAACTTCCACCTCACTACTCCCACCAAAGACTCCCCTTGGCTTTCTTTTCCACATCTTGCCTTCCTTTGAGGTCCTCTCAAGTCCCATCTCCTCTAGGAAGCCTTCTGAGACTACTGCTCACTAAAGATATCTTCTCCCCTGAATCAACTCACACAACTACTTTAAATATATTTGGTTGGTCCCACTGTATACGACTGTTAAACCTTTTACGTTACTGCCTCATATTGTGATTTACTTACTACTCAATATGACAAAGGAGATGGCTAGGATTTAAAAAAAAGACCATTTTTAGAAAACATTTTATAAATAGATTCTTACACAAAGAAGAAACACATCTATGGAGCACCCAAATTACCAATAAGGTGGACCCTAGCCCTTCTTTTCCACACTGGGAAAATGGAACAGAACAGGAAAAATGATTCCATCTCGTTCTTAACTGCTTCCACCTAAGTGGTCAGTTTTTCAAGCAGAGTTTCTATTCCTTTGCTGGTGCTTTTGTTTTTTTCCAATGTGGGAATCAGGCTTTTCAGTCCAGCTTTGACTTTGTTTGCAACTTCTTGATCAGAACTCTGGAGAAGGCTGAAGACAGAAGACAAAAATTAACAAACAAAAAATTAAATTTCATAAAAATTCCTAGATCATCTGCAAATACTATCTGCACCCACAGTATAAAAAATTCATTGACTTGTGAGACAAGTTTTGTAACTATAATACATTTTTTTCATTCATAAGATGAATGATGGGGGCCTGTAGCCCATATTCTAAAACCACATAAATAAAAAACATTTTATAATCTTACTGGTGGAGTCACTCAAGCAAATGTAGGAGCAACTGTGTCCCATACAGAATTTGTTCTCCTTTCACTTTGATTATCTTAGGACTAACACAATGCCCTAAAATTATTTATCACATGTCTTCTATCTTTCCTTCTCCACCCAGATAAACTCAAGAGCAGGGACCCTGTATTTCCTTCACAGCATCACACGTATAGAGCAGAAGGCCAAGAAATGCTCAATGAGCGACTGAAGTAACATGAGTGAATGGGTGCACACAGAGGAAAGGTGGGGGCATGAAACACAAGCAGTTAAGGGCCTTCTTACTGAACTCTGTAGCTCAAACATTCAGTGAAGGGGTGAAGAGATTTACCTTGGAGCTTAACTGCCTCGTTTAAAACCTGCCTCTGCCACTCAGTAACTGTACCACCAAGAACATGCTATTTGAATTCTTGAAGACGTAGTTTCCTGACCTGAAGAATGGGATCAAAAACAGAATCCACCTTCTACCTCACAGGGTTGTTTTTTGATGCTCAAATGATCTTGTATTTAAAGCACCTACCCAGAGCCTGACACTTAGTAGGACTTAATAAACGGGATCCATTAAACAAAATAACATCAGCTCTACTTTCTGAAACTTTGCTGGAGTGCTCTACCCCCACAAGTGAATGGAGTCCTGGAGGCTAGTAAAAAGAAGGCCCCTTTCTCTGTAAACAGGGGCTGGGACACAGGCACTTGGCCACAGAACGCCAGGGCTGAATTTCCTGGTCTCCCCCCACTTCTTCACAACCACATTTAATTGTTGACCTCTGAAACACCCCCTAGAAAGAAATCAGTTGGCATTTTTGAAAGTCCCAATAACTCCCATCATGTCAATAAAGAGGAGGCTAAGTTAGCAGCACCAAGCAGCATTCCGCTGTTTGTGGGAGACAAGCAAAAATAGCGCCTGCCACCTGCAAAGGTGGAAAAGTTGAAAAGTAAAGTGCCCTTTTAACAGATTTGTGACTCACTAGGTGTTTTTATTTTATACACCTTCGTTAAGCACATAGTCACATAATGCATAATAGTAATAAAGTTAATATTTATTGAACACACACTAGACATAATGCTAAGCATTTTATATGCATCATCTCATTTAGTTTTCATAACAACCTAGGATTATTATTAATCTAATTTTACAGCCAAGAAAATTAAGGTTCAGAAAAGCTGAATAATATACCCAAGGCCACACTGTGCTGGGCCTGGAAACCAGGCCATCTGTTTAGAGCTCATGCTTTTAAATGCTAGGGAATTCTGCTTCCTTCAGTTATTTTTTAGACTGCATAAAAGGTTGATTTTCTTTTTTCACTCAGAATGCTTTTTCACTTAGTGTAAAAAAGATTTAGGAAAAAAAAGAAAAAATTGCACAAGTTTGAAGTAAAATATAAATAAACAGAGAATTTTACCAAACAAGTCAAGCATATGACAATATTCTAAAACCAAACAAAAATAATTACTGTATTAATCAATTGTTAGGTTATCTATAGTCCAACCTCCTTCAGACCTCAAGTACATTAATTGCTCTTTTCCAGTTCTAAGTAGTGTTCCATAATAAACCCATAGTATCCTTCTTATGTTTGAAATCCACTCCAAGGGAGCTCTGATTGATGAGCAATCTTTATAAATTAATTTCACGGCATCACTGAAAAATTTTTAGTTAATTGAGTGCAATGAAAGAATGTATCAGTAGGTATTAACATTCCAAATGCCTGGTAAAAAAATTCTTATCAAAAAACTTCATGTTTCAGCTAATGGATTCTGGCTGTCCAACATCAACTGGAAAATTAACTAATTTGAATGAGAAATGAACAAAATGATCTGTATCACCCATACATTTGGAGATGCTGATACACCTGAAGAAATGAATGCTTGTATGGAGTGTGTATGTTTATGAGTACATATGTACCAAATCAAATTATACATTGAATAAACACTTATTGCATAGCATGCTGCATGTGAAATACTGTAGGAAATTCAAACTAAGATTGGTATGTTTTTCCAAACCTTGGTAACACAGCAGGGGGAAAAAAATCAACAGTGAATGTTTCAAAACAACATACAAATCTATTTTAAAATGAATGTTGTTAACAGAAGGGTTTCATCTGGGAATAGAATGCATGGAAATTTCAATGACCTGTAAATTATAAACTCAACATAACTACGCCTAGAGAACAATACACAAGTTGAGCATGTGCCTCAATTCATAAATCATCAGTTTTCTATCATTTTAATTAGAAATAAGTGATTAGCATGCAGACTTCAGTAGCAAATGCTTCTAGAATAGTTTTAGACTAGGTGAAATAATGAAACAAAATTACATGTAAAGTCAGTCATGACTTAAAAAACAACTGTCATAGTTTTCATAGGGACAAGACTAATTCATTAAAAAGAATACAATTACATTTTGGTCAAAACCATAAATGTGGTGAAACAATCAAATGATACAAATACTGTATGATCTTATATATGGAATCTAAAAAAATAATTAATTAAATTAAATTAAAAAGAGCAAGGGAAAAAACAAAACAAAACAAAATAAAAAAACCATATGGTCTCTTCCACATCTGTCTCTCAGGGTGTGTAAATGGGTTGCAACAGGCTTACAGGAATGAGGACCAGATTATGAGTGGTGATATTACCTGAACTATTGACTTATTATTTAATAATGTGTATTTTTAGCCAAAAAAAAAATGCTATATGCCAATAGGTAAACTAGTTGCTATGGATTTCTTTTTTTGAGATTTGTAATTAATCATGGTGAAAATAATGCTACAGAAAACATGATATACTTGCAAATACTACAAATTACATAATTTACAATGATTGTGTGTGGGGGGCTTTCTGTCCAGTGATCTGGAAAAAAAATAGGAGGCAGTGAAAAGGATCCCTACAAATTAATCAGATGTAAATGGTTTTCTCAAGAGGAAAAAAAGGAATACAATCACATTTTGGTCAAAACCATAAATGTGGTCAAACAATCAAATGACACCTTGTGAATGTCATAATTTTATGATCCTTGACATCCAAAAGAGGACAGATGAATTGTAAGGACTGAATGCAAGAGTTACATTTGCTTTCTAATATTTGGTATACTTGTCTAGACCATGAGCGACTGAGAGTAATACTGGACTATTAGAAATAAATATTAGAACCAAAAAATAAATGTGAAGGAAGTGTCTTTTGCAGGAACAGGCATTCAGGATGAGGAACTTGCGCAGAGAAAGACACACATTATACATACCTAGAAAGAATAATGGCACCTCGATTTACACTAGCCCAGGACTTCAGGTTCTTCATACCAACATGCTCTATGAGTGTTTTTGCAAAACAACCTGTAAAATATACTGAAACTCAGTGAACATCATATACCAAGATTTAAACTCCCAATCTTGTTTTCTATTGCCCTTAAATTTGCAAATATGTTTTAACATAAAAGCTACTAAGAAGAGTTCTCACCTAATATCCCTTAACACCAAAAATTCCAGCTCAGGCTTATATAATACGTTTTTAATACAGCCATTTCTTTCAACTCTGATCCCAATCCTAAGCTATGTTTAGCAGTAATTACTCAAGAGAAACAACGAATTCTTATAAAATGCTCACTTGGCCATGTTTGCATTTCTTTGTACTATTTAATGATTTAACCCTGACCTCAAAGGTATTCAGGAGGTAAATGTTTGACAGCAGCACCTCGTGTTTGGCTGAAATCAAGTTTTCCCTCATGGAAAATGCTCACTCAGAAGGTACTATGAACACAACTAGTAGTCAAATGACTGTTCTGGCCAACATCTGGCAATTTCTCTCTATAGAGAAAGACATTCACCCATCAAAAATACCATTCATCTTTTGTTATTATAGCAATCTGATTCCTAATAGCTTAGCGTATTATCTTATTCACTGTGCCATCTAAGTGTAACTAATTCTTGGACAAAGGAGAAATGGTGAAGGCCAAGATTTAGTGCACATGGAGGTAGGGACAATCTATCTTGAAGGCAAACATCTTGGGTAGGTAGCATGTATAACTCACTCAAAGATACCCAAATGTAAGGACTGTTTAAAAGCCCAGAGGCCTATGGCTATTTAGCTTTTCATGGCACAAGCTAAGAAGGGACAGAGATCAGCCAGTAAGGCAGATGGTGTTTTCAAAGGTGACCACAACAATATTTCCTGTCCTGTGTGCTCTTCTAGAATACTGCCCCTACCTCCCCTCCTCCAGAGGTGAAATCAATGTCTTCTTTTGAATTTGGGTGGGCCTTTGTTACTGACTTAACCAAGTGAGTATGGTAAAAGGAATGTTAAATAACTTCTGAGGCTAAATCATGAAAGTACCATGCACCTGCTTTGTTCTCTTAAAACCCGACCACCATGTTATGAGGAAGCCCAAGCAGCCCAGGGAGAGGAACCGAGGCTGCTGGCCCAGCCACTGCCAGCCATTGTGAAAGCAGATACTCCAACCCCAAGCTGAGCAGCCCAGACGACTCTGAGTAGAGAAGAAACAAGCTCCACCAAACCCCGATCAAATGACTGTTGTTTTGAAAACTACTACGTTTTGAGGTGGCTTGTTACACAGCAACAGATAACCAAGACAGCTGGCCACACGTATTTGGTGCTATGTGAATATGACAAACACATGAGGTCCAAACTGGCATGTTTTAGGGCTGTCAGTGCAACATAATTAAGGAGAAAAGTCACTAGAAAATTCTTTGGATTTTAAAAGTAAGCCAGACAACTTTTCTGACATATACTCAGCTCAACTGTGCACCAACTTTTTAATAACAAAAAAGATGATTCAATATATTACTGTTTCTCTGAAATTTAAGAAGCTTTCTTTTACAAAAAATTTACAGTAAAAATAGCTCCAAGTCTCTATTCACAAAAGAAGAGTGAGAAGTGACAGCTCTACTGCTATACTGATCGCCTCACTAGCCTTGAGAACTGCAACTTGCCTCAAGACATAAACTCACGATCTGTCACTTCTTTCAGACACAGTAACAGAAAGCCCAAACTGTTTTAACTCAGTGTGGGAAAATCTCTTTAGTGGCTAAAATATCAAAAAGAGTTTGAATTTAGTAAGAGAAAGTCTAGTCAAAGACAGGACTGAGTGGGGAATGGTATGTAACTTTTCAATGACATAAAAGATGCTGTTCTCTTGTGAGTGGAATTTCTACAGAGTAGCTGTAAGGTTTGTGAAAAACCAGAAAGTGCCAAGGACTGGCTTGCTCTTTGGTCATATGTATTTCAATGCCAAATAGGCACCAGTTCAAAATTCTCTGATGTGGATAATTTTCTTCTGCTTATCCTTTCCTCAAAACTAGAGATAAATATCATGCTTTTTAATTGGGGTAACAATACTCACAAATGGGCCCCCCTATTCTGCTCTCACTATCCTCAAGGAATAGAATGGCATTTTAGGGCAATGGGTGAGGCCAGTTAGAAGTCTGAAGTAGCAGAGGAGGGAGGAGAGAAAGTGAGGGAGCGTGGGAAAGAGAAAGAAAATTAAAGGATTCTAAGACACAAACTTCCAGCATTTACTAAAGCATTATTTGCAAACACTAAATCATTTATTTACAGGCATCATTTCTAAACACTCAAAAAACTTTCATTTGAACTTAAATGGCTGGCATAAAGTTCAGGGATGCCAGGAATTACTGAAATTCCGCATAAGACACAAGAAAAGGTCAAGTTTCACAGCCTACCTTCTCTTCCATTTTCTTTCATCTTTTTATCTTGCTCTATTAACCACTTCAGAACTAGATGTCCCGCAGGATGTTCTGCAATGTGAAGCTACGAGGGGTCAAGAAGACATTAATTTACAATGCTGCTTTCATCCACGCCTTGGCCTACAATCCATGCTATACCACCACACACAAATAAGCCAAGCTGAAAGTTCCACACAGCTTATACCTGGAGGGACCAGAGATCTATTCCAATCCCCAGAATCAAATCCCCAGACGGAAAGGAAGATGGTTATTCAAGACAGCCACTGAGAAGCAGCTCAGACTCAGCTTCATGAGTTCCAGTTAGAACAGCATCACCACAATGTCCTCTTAAGACAACACTAACCACGTTTCAGATTGCAATATGCAGTTCTGAAGTACAAATAAACCTATGGGACAGAACACTACAGCAGAAATATTAACCTAACGCTGAATGATGTGTAAATACAGGTGACTACATGTGTGTTCACCAGGAGCTGACACCCTAGTGCAGGATGAAGGCCCCACATGAGCAGGCTCCCACCTTCCCATTCCCTCTGTTCACTGATTTCCAGCCCCCTGGGCCTTCTGCTCTTAGACCCGCTGAGCTCCTTCCTTCCTTCAGGCTGCTGCAGGTGCTCTTCTCTCTGCCTAGAATCTTCTTTCTACCATTCTCCACTGAGCTACCAATCCTCTGGGTCTCAGTTTAGCTTTCACTGCCTCAGGGAAGTCTTCCTGGGAGAGGCTGGCTCCCATTCTTACACAATCCCATAGAACCTGTAGTTTTCTTTCACAACACTTATCTCAATACTGAATTAAATATTATTTGTGCATATTTATTTAAATATTGGGTTCCCCCAAATGGCATGCTTTTTTTTTTTTTTTTTTTTTGCTTGAGGAAGATTCACCCTGAGCTAACATCTGTGCCAGTCTTCCTGTATTTTGTATGGGAAGATAGGCCCTGGGCTAACATCCGTACCCATCTTCCTCTACTTTATGGGACACTGCCACAGCATGGCTTGACAAGCGGTGCGTCGCTGTGCGCCCGGGATCCGAACTCTGGGCCGCTGCAGTGGAGTGCGCACAGTTAACCGCTACGCCACCAGGCCGGCCCCCAAATGGCATGCTTTTTGAGGGGTTGAGGGGATGGGGGGCAGGGTTGACCACTGCCTAGCACATATCAGGTGCAGGAATCAATGAACTTAAGATACAAGGCAGAATAACATGAGGCCCAAATAATAGAGGCAGGAGCTATCGGAAAGAGCAAAGACCTTTTAATGAGAGGGAATTAGGAAAGACTTCATAGAGAAGGGTTCTGGGGACCATGAAGGATGGATGAGAAAGGCTTTCTACAGGGAGAGCACAGGAAAATGGAGACACGGGCAGCACTTGAGGCTGAGGGAAGAAGTACACACAAATTCAGAGAGGTGCAAAAGTACACAGCAAATTCAGAATAGAATTAAGAGCATAGACTATGCTGGAAAGACAACCTGGGGCTAATCACGGACAACAGAGAGCCATACTACAAGGATTTTGTTTTTACTCTGTAAGTAATATGGAGTCATCATAAGTTTCTGAGAAAGACAGTGTTGTAATGGCATTGTGTTTTGAATTCACAATTTTAAAATGTACTGTTGGTGGGGCCAGCCCCATGCCTTACCAGTTAAGTGTGCGTGCTCCGCTACTGGCGGCCCAGGTTCGGATCCCGGGCGTGCACTGACACACCGCTTGTCCGGCCATGCTGTGGCGGCGTCCCACATACAGCAACTAGAAGGATGTGCAACTATGACATACACCTATCTACTGGGGCACTGGGGCTTTGGGGAGAAAAAAGGAGGAGGATTGGCAATAGATGTTAGCTCAGGGCCAGTCTTCCTCAGCAAAAAAACAAGGAGGATTGTCATGGATGTTAGCTCAGGGCTGATCTTCCTCACAAAAAATAAATAAATAAAATATACTGTTGGTATGAGGTGAGTTAATTATCATTAAAAATTCTCTTTATAGCAATGTTCTCAGTGATTGGAATTTTTGCAGCCTCTGCAGCTTTCCTGCTTGTCTTATAATGGCATGTTACCTCTCCATCCTTGCCACCTGGATGCAGCTCTGCTGCTGCCAAACTGGCAATGGCATTCATGGCAGGCTGAACATCTCCAATGGCAGCTCCCAGAATGTCGGACACCAAAACACACGCAGACTTATCTAGCACCACTTCTTGGGCGTGTCCCTGCAGGTAGCTTAACAAAGCTGGAGAAATGGATTCTAACAGCTCGCGTCGGCGGATCTCTGTATCTTTCTTACTGTCAGAAGATGTTGAAGTATTAAGGTAAGATAAACAGCAAAGAAAATATAGTGATTTCATTATCACAAAAACCTCTAAGGGCTTCTAACAGTCTGTGTCACACTCTATTGTCTTTTTCTGTTGTGCATGTAGATAAGTGATCGATTTGAGGGTGGGATATCTGTCTTTCATCTTTGTCCCCCCAGGATCTGAATAGTGCCTGGCACAGAACAAGCACTCAATAAGGAAAGCTTGCCTTATGCAATACAAAAAAACACCCCAAACCAATCCAAAAATGAAACTACCACAACAACAAAATATCTTCCAAGACAATACATGTTTCGACTACTTTATGGATTCTACTCTCTAGTACTCAATTATGTGGTACCAGTAGCTTTAAAAATAAAGCAAAAACCAAAACAAAGCACACATCTGAGTGCCCACTATGTTCCAGGTGCTATGAGGCATACTTTCGGCATGACACTTCACTTCCTTTTCAAGATAAAAACTTTAAGAATCTGCCAAAACTACAAGTTTAAAAATGGAATTCACCTTTTGAGTTTTAAGGAGGGAAGGAGCATGAGAGAAGTTATGCGTGCGTGAGTAGATGGCTGGAAGCATGTGCTACTCGAAGTTAATAAACAATCAGAGGGGAGGAATAACGGGCTCAAGCCATTCCACTTGTTCTTACCTGTGTGCGTTTCCATCTCCTTTCTGCAGGACTTCAATGATTTCTCGTACCGTATGTGCAGGATCTCTGGGGCTTAGTAAATACAATAATACCTTCCTTCCATATTTGTCATTTACTATGTTAGGCAAGGAATTAATAATTTCCTGTAAAATTATAAAAACAAAAATGAATCTATATGCTTAAAATACAGTACACTTGGAATCTAAATGGTAAAGAAGGATGCATACTTAACTATTGTCCCCAATGTATTTAATGGAAAATGTGGAGCTAATTCTGAAACTGTCTCATTAAAGCACAAAGAGATTTACAACACTCAGAACACAGAACTGATTCTCTACTGTGACTAGCATTACTGAACAATCCATTTATATAACTGACCGAGCTCAAGGACTTAAGAATATTTAAGGGAATTATCGTCATTCACTATAACCAGTATTTCTTAGGCCGCTCTTACTAGAGACATTGCTTGCTGGGGTCACTGAGCAGATACAGTTAATTTGCAGCTGCACTTAAATGTAGCATCTACATCGATGAAGAACATTCTTAATAGAATTTCCCCACTGAAATGCATGTGAAGCGGGATAAAGAAACTCTGTTGAACAGAACAAGTGAATAAAGGTTTTAAGTTAGGTTGCTTATTCATGGCAAATGAAGGCTGTTTAAGTATCACATTGAAAACAAAAGCAGGGGGAGGAAAATACATACACAGAGACTCCAAGGAGCAGTTACAAGCAATTACATTCTATGACATTTCCAATCAACTTACCGAGAACAGTAACCTCCTTTCCTAGTTGTCTGAATTTAAGTAACAAAGGCAATGTCATCCCCATCCCAACTAAGCTCCTGTGTAAATCTGCTGAGGGTTTCAGACAGAAAAGTCACTGTTTAAAAATTCCTTTATTCTTAACAGAGAATATGCAACAGAAAAATCATGTTTCCTCCCCCCTCAACATTCCTATTTCTTGTAACAAGCCTAATAGATATTCAAAGCCATACATGTTTGAGCACCAGAGATTCTGCAGAACTGGCTGGGGCCACGGCAAGAATTCAGTTCAACTCCCCAGGTTTACAGATGAGGAACCCATAAGGGGAGAGATGACTTGTCGGAGGACGCACAGCATCAGTGGCAGGGCTCTGACTAGTCTTGGTCCCCTGACTCCACCTCTAGTCTCCTTCAAAAACATACACCCCCTCTTAAGGAAAAGAATTCTCCATGAGATGATATACTCAGATCTGCTATTCTCTAGCTACTTATTACAATGAGATTAGTAATTTTAGTGTAAGGAACCAAGCTAAAAATTAAGTCAGTATCAACCAGGGGATCATGACACTGTGAAATTTGTGACTCCAAGGTAGATGATGCAATTTCAGATTCCACATACCACACTTTTCTTTTTAAAATCCCAAAATTCTCTCATTTTCTGCATAAAAGTATATTGGGCTTCCTATAATTAATAATAGCAGCTAACACTTGTTAAGTGCTTACTAGTAACCAGACCCTATGCCAAGAGCAGTACGTCCATCATCTTAAATACTCTTCAGATCACCACGACATAGGTACTGTAGTTACTTTCATTTTACAGATAAGAAGTCTAAGATTCAGACAGGTAAAATGACTCATAGTAGATAAGTAAAGGCCACTCATCCAGGGCATGACAGAGCCATGACATGATATGATCGCCTGTTTCCATGATTCTAAACCCCACTGTGCTCTCCTACTTTTGAAGAAGTTTAAGGTTACGTATAAAGATTTCCCCACACACCGTAAAGGTTTTCAGAGAATAGGGGCAATAGATCTAACCACCTCAAAATGAATATAAATTTCAACCATTTAGGGAAAATGATCTTAAAATTTCAATAACAAAGGGGAAGTCAGCAAAAAAAAATGTACATACCTTATCATGGGGGTGGGAGCTCTTTTGTAATTTCAAGGTAAACATGCCCCAAAGTGGACTCAATATATGCACTTTTGATAATGAAGCACTTACTGCCACACACATGGGCTACCTTTAGTGAGGCTTTTCTTCTACCTAAGTCTTAACCAACTCGTAAAAGAAGACAGATGCTTTAATTTGTTGAAAGATGAGAGTGAGAATGATACATAGCTTAGGCCAATTTCTACAATCATTAAAAAACCCCACAACTTTGTTGTCCTTAAAAAACCATTCTGGGGTATAACACCTTTAAAATACTTGCTTTTTCGGAAAAAAAAATGGGGGGAGTATGCAGTGAAGAACTATAAATGGCTGCTATTTATTTTTACTTAACTTTTTTTTCTTGGTGTAAGGAGGAAAGGGGGTGGCATGAAGCCAGCATTCTACTCCTCAATGCTCTTAACCTTCTCTGTGGATTCTACACTTAAGGATGAGTGCAACACATAAGATTTGGGCAGAAATGGTTTCACCTCCACGTGAGAAGCTAGGACTTCCAAGATACACATAAAATCTATGTACAAATGCTATTCAAGGACTACTCCCCAAATTCACTGACCTTTTACTGCCTTTCACTTTATAATTAAGGAATTTAGAATCTAAACTTATGTTCCTTTAAGGTTTTTAAAAGAGTGCAATGTTTATAAAACTAATAATCATATGAAACTAAAAAATGTTTACTTAAAAACGTGACATCATTTGGGGCCAGCCCGGTGGCGTAGTGGTTAAGTTCACACAATCTGCTTCAGTGGCCCAGGGTTTGCAGGTTCAGATCCCAGGCGTGGACCAACGCACTGCTTGTCAAGCCATGCTGTGGCAGGTGTCCCATATATAAAGTAGAGGAAGATGGGCACAGATGCTAGCCCAGGGCCAATCTTCCTCAGTAAAAAGAGGAGGATTGGCAACAGATGTTAGCTCAGGGCTAGTCTTCCTAATACACACAGACAAAAAAGTGACATCATTTAATTCTCCTCCGTCTCACCATGGTTCCAGCTTTCCTATCATCGTAAACATTCATCTTGAGAAAAATAAAAGGTAACAGTATGAGCTCGGTTATATCATGGAGCACTAATTCATTTCTCTTTAACCTGGGTTACAGAAAAGGGGAGAGAAGTTTCTAGATGATCAGCTGGAGAAGACTAACACGTAGAGTGACATGTAGGAACAGGTGAGAGGCAGCTGCAGTACAGCTGAGTCTGTGCTGAGTTTGGTCTTTGGGATCAGGCTGGGTAGGCTTTGGCAAATCCTTTAACCTCTCTACACATCAATTCTCTTATCTGTAAAAAGAAATGAGACCCCTGCCTGACCTGTGGGCCATTACCAGGAAGAAATCAGACAACTCACAGCGCAAACTGAACACTGCTATAAAGTAATTATTTTCATATTAAAAACATCTATCAATACTACAGCATCTTGAACTAGGGATATTAAATAAAGCTGGTGGAGTCATGAGTTTGGCATCCTCAAAAGAGAGAGAACCCCAACATCAAAGGTTCAATTTTAAAGGTTTTCAACTTAGCTTTCCCTCTTACAAGAATTAACGTAGAGAAAATCACAACAAGGCCCATTTGTTGTAATTTCTTCTTCTCACACTTTACTCTAAAGCAGGCATGTGAACAGAAGTAAAGCGTGGGAAGAACAAAAGATCTCCCTTCTGAAGACACGTTTCGCCGCTTCTGACCTCCTTGTGTTGGAACCCTTGTCAGCTTCTTTGGCACTCTTGTTTTGCCAGCACTCTTTTAAAAAGAGGATGTAAAGGTCCAAACAAAGGGTGCACACTGGGGCAGGGTTAGAGCGCACGTGCATTTTCAGTGGAAGAAAGAAATGCAAAACGCAACAGACATTACTAAGAACCAAAGCTACAGCGCACACACGTCTATGGTAGATTGTGCACAGGACAAAAAGAAACGTAGACAGGTCTGAACCTGACAGAGCTAAAATCCACCGGAAGAGGCAGGAGAGACTCAACAAGTTAAAAGTAAAAATAAGAGATGTAAAGAAAGGATAATAACGGAAGTGTAGAAGGAAGGTTAGGTCACTAGGCAGTGACTGCAGCCTCTTGAGTGTTTTGTTTTAAAAATACAGTGATTTTTATCCAAAAGTCTACCTCTCTGGCCACACTCAAAAAATTGGAAGGTGTAGTTTAATGCATATAATTTTGGTTTTGCAAGATGAAAAAGGTCTGGAGACTGGTTGCACAACAATGTGAATATACTTAATACTACTGAACTGCATGCTTAAAAACAGTTAAGATGGTAAATTTTAAGTTATGTGTATTTTACTGCAATTAAAAAGAAGAAAAAATTGGAAGATCTATCGCCATGGAGCTCACATTCCTAGATGCTGGAGGCTCTTACCCTAGACAGGCCCTGTGCTCTCTCCTTTCCCCACAGTCCACCCCACCCTACACCTGGCCTGCCTTCCTCATTTACCTACCTGGTCAACGAACGTTTCTGAGTTTGCGAGCACTGGGTCAGATCATGATTAACCGCTAAATGAATGGATGGCAAAGACAAACTACAGGAGTTGGGAGGATGGGGAGAGCAGGTCTGGCTGGGAGATCAGAGAACACTATCTGGAGATTGAACTGGCACTTGGTCTTAGAAAAGGAAGAGTGTTTATTAGGCTATGATTTCACCTTGACATTTCAGGAAATCCAGGTACTCTGAACAGAATCCTTAGCAACCCTATTTTTAAAAGCACTGCATAATGCAACAGGTTTTGTAGTGGCTGGGTGGGAAACACGGACATGTGACTCTACATAAATGTGCAGCTTATGTGGCAACCCAACGATTCTAAGCAAATGCTTAGAGAAACAAGGAGACATCCAAGAATGCTCACAGAATTACTTGGAATAACAAAAAATAAGAATTTTTCAAGTTTTTAAAATTGTAAACAATCTAAATGTCCATCAACAGAAAAATGGAAAAATAAATTGTGGCATACTCATAACAGAATACAATTTGGTATGGAAAATTGAATAATTTAGAATAGGGGTAGGCAAACCATGGCCTGCGGGTCAAATTTAGCCTCTTTTTGCACATCTTGCAAGATAAGATTGGTTTTTACATTTCAAAGAGCTGTTATAAAACAAAAATAAAACAAACAGGAATAGGTCACAGTGGACATATATGGCCCACAAAGCCTAAAACAATTACAGTCTGGCCCTTTATAAAAAGGGCTTGCCAACCCCTGATGATGAATCTTGTAAGTATAATACCAAAAGAAAAAAGCAAGTTGCAGAGGAAAACATACAAGACATCATTCATACGGAATTTGTAAACACGCAAAAGAGTACTATATATATCTACATATAGCGAAAGGATAAGGAAATGCATGCAAATAATAAATACGAAATTCATCACAGTGGGTAAGGGGGGGTGGGATACGCAATCAGGGACAGGTACACAAAGGGCTTGAACTTTAACTGCATTTGTCATGTTTTACTTATTTGTCAGATGGTGGGAGGCTGGGTGTTTGTTGTATTATTCTTTATACCTTTCTGTATATTTTAAAGTATGCATCAATATTTATTCACTCTCAAACAGCAACTGGCCAGTGTACTTATTTCCTTTTCAGAAGAACACTGCTGTCAAAGCAGCTTCATCATACCAATAATTCCAGGGTAAAATGGATCAAATTTTATGTTTATTTTGGAAAGTAAGGTGAGTGGGAAAGTCTGTATCCATTTTGGAAGGTGAAGGCTCAGCTGACCAGGCTGTGATTTCAACCTGACATGTCAGGAAGTCTGGTTACCCTAAACAGAATGCTTAGCAACACTATGCTTTCTCAGGTATTTTTAAAAAGCACTGCATACTGCAACAGGTTTTGTGCTGGATGGGTGGGAAAAATGCAAGAGCAATTAGCATTCCAGAATTTTATCACTAGCTACACAGTTTAATGATACACAGAACCTGTTGAGCGTTTGTCAGTTAGAGTCAAGAGATCAGCAAATCGGGCCATTCTCAGGGAAAGCTGCCCTAAGTATGAGAAAGTCATTAGGAATGTGGGTTAAGTAGTTGTGAGAATCAAACTGATAAGCCCACGGAATTAGAACTGTTTCAACAGCAACTTTAAGTGGGATACGTGTTTGGAAAAAATTAATCTAGCAGATAATTGTGGCAAATCCTTTCAAGAGGAACCAAGTTTGGTTTCTCTTAAAATCCGTTTGTTACAGTTATGCAAATTTTAGTTGTCATGAAAATATTCAACAAAAGCAAACTTTCAATAGCCCAGCCTGTTTCCATTTTCATGAAACAACTTTAGTCATTAGCCAATTTATGGCCTCACATCTCTGTCACCAGAATGAAAAACAATCATTATTGATTGGAGTCAAAAGGGTAATAAAGTCACAAGGAACTTGTCAAAATACTCAGTTTGTGACATGAAAGTCTTGCCAACTTGTTTCTTCCCACAATCCTATCTCAAAGAAAGTCATTGCAATCTTAAAATAGTCAAGGGGCAAGTTGGAAAATGACAGCAAGGGCATGAGAAATTCACACACACTGGGACCTACAGCTGGCATCTAAGAAAGCAAATCTCCTTCCCCTCCACCAGCTGATCCATTTTTTCTACTACACCCCGCTCTACTGGTCCACATGGGCTATAGAGAGAGGCCACAGCACCACCATACGCCAACAGGTCAAGTCTCTTTCTGCACATCTATATGCTTCTCCCTGCAGATGGCGTGAAAGTAGCTGCTGTCACTAAGATTTCTCCAAGAGCCCAACCACGTTTATCAGAGAGAAAGGTCTGTGTAATTTTCAGATGAATAACCTATGTCTATACAGATTATGTGGTTTTTAAAATGTTTCTGAGTTTGGTCACTGCGACCAATGTTGCAATTTCTTATCCCTACTCTTACAACCTCTACCATATACCCAACACCACTTGCACACGGAAATAAAGAAAGGGAAGAGAAGATGGTAGATTCAGAAGTCGAAAAAGGGGCAATCCTTAGAGAATGAAGGAAATTATTTCAGAACGCACTTTTTACTTTGGAGTAGTTTTTCCAAGAGGACAGCTCAGTTTTTCTGAAGGCAAACTTAGGGTTAAATAAACTGCATCCAATTATTACCACTTTATGGTTATTATATCAGGGGAGAAGGAATTGCTCAAACGTGAAAAGGAAGCTAGCATTTTAATTTTAGTAATAATTTTTAATCTGACTCTACAAAAGCTTTCATGAAAGCTGTAAGAAGTATCACAACTGAGTGAGTGTTATCAGTTTTTCTTCTCCAGCACAATCTAGGACAGATGTATTGATAAGCTGGGTAATCGTGCAGAGGTAGTTTTCCAAAGGGAGAGAGAGAAAGGTCATGGAGATCCTCCGCCTGGATATGAGTTCCTGAATAATTGAAGAATTACCATGTAAACGAATTTCTAATCAAATCTAAACACTGCATTGCTCATTTTTCATTTAAGGTCATTTGGTCTAAAAAGCCATGTTACTCTAATTTAACCAGTCTTCTACATATTAAAAAGAATATTAATTATTAATATCAAGTTACAAGATTATGGCTTATACAGGAATAAAGCAAACTCCCAAAATAGACTTAATTGAGGCAACTAAAAAATAACAAAATACTGGCAGAAAGCACACTTCAAAGTCTTTACACATATAGTGTGAAATCAAGCTTACACACCCACAAGTGATATATCAATTTAACTTAAATTCAAGGCCATTGGAATTACTTACTGATATGATTATCTGCTTCACAAGCTTAGTATCATCAATACAATCAAATGCCGCCAGCAAAACCAAATGGGAGTACTGGCCCTGTAAGAAGTGTAAGCCAGGAAAGGTTAAAAAAATGCATAGCTTCTCCGTTTTATTCCACCCATGCAGTCATGTTATAAAGGTTACCAACCTGACAACTTGTAGAACATAATATAAACAAGATGGATAAAAGCCATTCAAAGGAACTTCCTCTCTTATCAGGACCTAGTTAATTATATTCTAGGTTGATCAAAAAAAAAAAAAGACAGAAACAGAAAAGCACATTCTTCAATATCAAATAGCTGAGACTCTTTTTTTTTTTTAACTAATCAGGATATAACACCTCTAAACACAGGTATCCTGTTAATGAATAGCTACTTGAAAATTAAACTCAAAAAAATTCAAGTAAGTGGAAGATAAACACATGGATAAAGGGAACAGATTAGTGGTTACCAGAGGGGAAGGGGGCTGTGGGGTGGGCAAAAGGGGTAAAGGGGCACATATGTATGGCGATGGATAAAAATTAGACTATTAATGGTGAACATGATGCAGTCTATATGGAAACTTATAAATAATAATGTACACCTGAAATTACACAATCTTATAAATCATTATGATCTCAATAAAATAACTGAAAAACAAACAAAAAAAGAATAAAAAAAAATTCAAGTGGTAAGTGAAAAAAAAAAAGAATATAAAACTATACACAGAATTCCAGTCATGAAAAAACAAAACATATAAACTCAGATATAATTATATATATACACAAAATACACACAATACATGTACACAGAAAATCCTAGAAGGAAGAACACTGTAATGTAAGTCATCTCCAGGTTGAAGGATTACAAATAATTTTTCATTTTCTTTTGTATATTGTCCAATTTCTTTAAAATAATCCCATATAATTAGAATAGAAATACTAGAAGAATACACTTATATACCAAATATGAGAATAAGATAAAAATAATTCCTTTAAAAAAGTACAGCAGCATGAGATCATACAGATACATGCTATGACTTTCACAATGGTCACCTCTGGAAATAACAGAATTATTTCCATGATGCTGCTATTATTCCAAAAGTTAAAGAACTTCTACATTATGTCAAAAAAAAAAAAAAGAAGTGTTTTCAGAGCTTGTGGCATATTCTTTTTGTATCCTAGGTAATGACATAAATCTTTTTTTATTTTGAAGGGCAATTTAACTTTTTTTTTTGATGCTTTCACTGATTATAGGTATAATCTTGTCTATGTAGAATTAGCCTTGGGAGTTTGTTTGTTTATTTATTTTTTGTGAGGAAGTTTTGTTGTGAGGAAGATCAGCCCTGAGCTAACATCCGATGCCAATCCTCCTCTTTTTTTTTTTGCTGAGGAAGATGGGCCCTGAGCTAACATCCGCGCCCCTCTTCCTCTACTTTACATGGGACGCTGCCACAGCATGGCTTGACAAGCAGTGCATCGGTGCGCACCCGGGATCTGAACCTACAAACCCTGGGCCGCCGCAGAGGGACACGCGCACTTAACTGCTGCACCACCGGGCCAGCGCTGGCAATTTAACTTTTGATCACTCATTCACAGCCAGGTCCGATGAATATGGCAGGTAATAATGTTTCAATTAGAAACAAACCAGACAAAAATAACACAGGTCTAACATCTTTACTATATAAAGACCAACAATCTACTAAAAATGAGAGAAGAACAGAAGAGTCAGTTCACAGAAAAAGAAAAGTACAAATGGCTTTAAGCAAACGAAATAATGCTCACCAAGGACAATAATTAAAACAGTGAAGTACCATTTTCCACCTATCCTACAGGCAAAAGTGAAAACCCTTGATAATATACAAATTTGGCACAGGTTTGGGGAAAAGCAGGCACACTTTTATGTTGTTGGTGAGAATGTAAAGTAGTTCAATTTCTTTGAAGGGCAACTGACAACATCTATAAAAATGTAAAATGCATATACCTTCTGATCCAGCCATTCTAGTTCTAGGGATTTATCTTACAGACATGTTACCACATATGCACAAAGGATACGCCCTGGCATACTATTTGAAATAACAATAAACTAGAAACTACCCAAGTGTCCAATAGTGGGGATCGGTTAAATGTATTATGGAAGTCATATAACGAAATATTATGAAGTCATTAAAAAGAGGTAGATAGATGTACATATACTGAAATAAAATGACCCTTGAGATGAATTAAGTGCAAGAAACAAAGTAGAGAACAATGTGCATATAGTACACAACGAATGGTTTCTTATTTTTTTTTTACCCTGAGGAATATTTGCCCTGAACTAACATCCCTGCCAATCTTCCTCTATTTTGTATGTGGACTGCTGCCACAGCATGGCCGCCGATGAGTGGTATAGGTCCACGCCTGGGAACTGGACCTGGGCCACCGAAGCGGAGCTCAGTGAACTTAACCACTAGGCCACAGGGCCACACCCTGGTTTCTGATTTTTTAAGTCCGACACACACAAGCATGCCCAAGCACAAAATATCTCTGGGTAAATACCAAAGAAGTTGGAACAGAATTTAAGGGAAAAATAGACAATTCTGTAATTATAGTTGTAGATTTTAATATGCTTCTCTTAGCAACTGATAAAACTAGACAATGATAAATAAATCAGTAAAAACATTGATGATCTGGCGGCTGGCTCGCTGGCGTAGCGGTTAAGTGCACGTGCTCCACTTCGGCGGCCTATGGTTTGCAGGTGTGGATCAGGGCGTGCACTGACGCACTGCTTGGCCAAGCCATGCTGTGGCGGTGTCCCATATAAAGTAGAGGAAGATGGGCACGGATGTTAGCCCAGGGCAATCTTCCTCATCAAAGAGGAGGACTGGCATTGGATGTTAGCTCAGAGCTAATCTTTCGCAAAAAAAAAAAAAAACACTGATGATCTGAACAACACTATCAACCATCTTGATCTATCAAATTGACATTTATAGAGTACTACACCCAACAAGACCACAAAACACATTCTTTTCAAGATGCCTTCATATCAATATGTTGAGCTATAAGTCTTTATAAATTTAAAAGGATTGAAATATTAGAGTATGTCAAGAAACTCCCAATATTTGGAAATTAAACACTTCTAAATAACACATATATCAAATTCATGGGTTATATTAGTTTATCTCCCCCCTTTAGAAGCAACTCCTTGAGATAAAAAAAGAACATTACATTGTTCATTTCTTGTTACCAACACAATGCCTTGCTGGGATTAGGTTCTCAAAAAAAAAATTGTTGATATAACTAAACTGTAAAATTAAAACTAATTTTATTACTTAAGAATGGCTTTATTATTAATGTTTTAGACCTATTAACATTCTTTTTATTCATTTTTAATTTAAAATATTCAAATTAAAATGTCATAGGGCCGGCCCCGTGGCTTAGAGGTTAAGTGCACGCGCCCCGCTGCTGGCGGCCCGGGTTCGGATCCCGGGCGCGCACCGACGCACTGCTTCTCCGGCCATGCTGGGGCCGCAACCCACATACAGCAACTGGAAGGATATGCAGCTATGACATACAACTATCTATTGGGGCTTTGGGGGGAAAAAAAAAATTGTCATAAAAAAATTTACTTGATGAATAATCAATCATAAAATATTCTCATACTTGGGAAATAACTCACTAGATAATCTTTTATTTCATTTTGTAGAGAAAAGTTAGATGACTCCTAAGAGGTTTTATACTCTCTTCCCAGTCTCCAACCCTACAGAAGACAACATCTATGTATACAATCACACAGCACCAACTTATCTGTTTGAATTAGCATTTACCGTATTAAGTATTCACCAGATGCTAGTAGTTCTCATTGGATTTTTTCATAGGAAAAACTTGTTGATACCACTAATTTTAGTTCACCAGTAAACGAGAAGCTATAAAACATAATATATAGGGGCCAGCCTGGTGGCATAGTGGTTAAGGGCATTTGCTCCACTTCAGCAGCCTGGGGTTTGCAGGTTTGGATCATAGGTGCGCACTGACACACCACTTGTCAAGCCATGCTGTGGTGGCGCCCGATATAAAGTGGAGGAAGATGGGCATGGATGTTAGCCCAGGGCCAATCTTCCTCAGCAAAAAAAAAAAAAAAAAAAAAAAAGAGGAGGATTGGCATCAGATATTAGCTCAGGGCTGATCTGCCTTACAAAAAAAACAAAAAACAAACAAAAAACCACATAATATATAAAATTATAAAAATTTTAAAATGTTTACTACTACATATATTCCGTGAGGTATCTAGTATTTAAACACAATTTTTTCAGGCAATTAATCCCACAGAAAAAACTTTTTGTATCCTCTAATTTCATAGGAAAGCTGTTACAGCATCTCCAAAGGATTCCAAAGAACTATAAAACTTAATGACTAGAATTTTCTTTGACCACATTACAAATTTATTCTAGGCAGTAACTTCCATGTTTAATAACATGATTGGACAAATTCATTAAAGAAGCTAGTAAATATCAGCTCTTCAAAAAATATCTAATAAAAACGGAAAACTGTCACAATACAGTGTTAAATGAAAAAAGGAGAAATCTCATTTTGTGTAAATTTTATATAAAAATACATGCATAAGCATAGAAAAAGATTGTAATATAACAATGAATAATTTTCTTCTTGGTAATTTTCTGAATTTTTCAAATTTTCTATAAATAGAAATGATTTTATCTTATTATTAAAAATAGTTAGAAGAAATATATAGTTTTATTATACTTACATTAGCCACCTTTTCAACATAAGTCTTCATTGTTTTCACAATCACTTTCCTGTCCTTAAAAAAGAAAAATTGTCTCAATTAACTTTTAGTTATAGTTTACAGGTATTTCATAGTCAAAGATTTTAAATATTAATTTTCATTGGAGTGGCTACTTTTCACTAGTGAAAAGTTATGCAGCCAGAATGAAAAAAATTGCAGTATACTATAAGAAGTCCTTTCAGAGCTATTATAATCTTACTTGTATATGACAAACCATTGAGACATAAATGTGGAACCATAAAACGATTAGCTGCAAGGCAAACCTAGCGAAACTACCTCCTTTTACAGTGAGAACTGAGATCCCTCTTCCAATGTCTGAACTGTCTTCAAATGCATGAGTCTAGCATACAGATGGCATTCAATACATGTTTGTTGTAAGAAATTAAATCTGTATTAATTTAAAAAGTAAAGTACAACTGTCTTTTAAAGGCAGAATTATGCTGATCAAGGAAATGAAGATCATTTCTGTTAAACTTCTGTAATTATTATGGATCTTTACCTTTTCCCTCAAAGTACTTAACACCCACATGAGCAAATTTATCTCCTCCTTCCTCCACTAAGATCATTAAATGGGGAATCAAGAACCTGATAGTTACCAAAACTTCTACAAATGTAAGCCTAACATATAGATTGTGTCTACCTGCTTGACAGATCCCTTCCCAGACAATGACAACCCAAGGGTTCATACTTTAAGGAAAACTCCAGCAGACAAAAAAAACACTAGGTCCAAAGAAAAGCCAATTCCTGTGAGGCCCTGAGGCCAAACTGGATGAAGATAATGTTGTTTATGCACAACAGGGCAAAGACCAAAGGAGAGGAAAGTCTAAGGAAAGGCCAGTCAAGCCCTGACTGACACACTCACCTTGGGCGTGCCATGCCACAGGCAGTGCATGGCCACTCTGGCACCATCGTGCGTGTGAGCCAGGTACACCACAGCTTCTCGGATGGCCTCGATCATCTCCTGCGGAACAAATGGCATCAGAGTTTTGGTTTATTCTTTCTTTCTGCCTTTCAAAAATCTGTCTACTGGGGAGCAGTTATGCACAGAGAATGAAAGAGTATAGGTAGCAAACAATTTAGTTTTTAATTTTGTAAACCAGCACACAGAAACACAACCTCTTTCTAGAAACATTCTTTTCCATCAAGAGCAGCAAACACTGTTGGCAGGCAATTTCTATTAAAATACCTGAGTTTCACCAATGTCTATTCAAAAAAGTATGTACACGTATAGAATATTCTAAATGATTTTTCAAGAAAAAGAAGTCTAGGAGGTGGCTGTGGAAACAGGGGAGTTTTTAATAGAAAAGCCAAATAAAATAAATAAAATGCTCTTCCCTAAAAGAGTTATGTATATAATGAGCAGAGAACTAAAACACTAATTTTGGCTGAAAAAGTTTCTTTTTTAGTTTATCACTGGATACTTCCAGAAATCATATTAATAATTCACCATAAAAACAAATAACATTTCCCTAAGAAAAATTAATCTCTATATTAGACTAGGCCCTCACTTATCAATGACCCTTTAGTAAAAACCCAGTCATTAATTTCTTACAAAGTAGTTAGGCTTATTTTTTATCTTTATTCTTCATTCTCAATGTATATAATTTCTTAATTATATTTTGGAAGTCTAGCAGATAGATGCAAATGAATTCTGGCAGCTAACAGCTGCAGGGCCCCATTTCAGTCCATTCCCAATTTAAAAATTTACATTAACTGGGGCCGGCCCTGTGGCTTGGTGGTTAAGTGCGCGCGCTGCGATGCTGGTGGCCCGGGTTCGGATCCCGGGTGCGCATCGAGGCACCACTTCTCCGTTCATCCTGAGGCCGAGTCCCACATACAGCAACTAGAAGGATGTGCAGCTACGACACACAACTATCCACTGGGGCTTTGGGGGGAAAAATAAAATAAATAAAATCTTTAAAAAAATTAAAAAAAAAAAAAAATTTACATTAACTAAATAAATAAGTACAGTCTCCTGCCAGGATAGAGAAAGATGGGTGCATATTTTCATCAATAAGGAATAAGCAATTTCACCCTTAACTATCTTACAATCCTTTCCCAGGATGAATCTCAATACGGCTTTCAGCTTACATACGTAAACTTACAAATCTCTTCAAAGCTATCCAGTCATGTTTCCATTATCCCCAAAGGTGTAAGTCTCTCTTTTGAAAATGCCCCCAGGGTCAGAAAAGATTTGTCTTATTACTTTATAGTCACCCTATGTTCCCAATGACTTGCTGCTATTACTAAAACACATTCAACACTAAAAAGATAAAGATTTTCCACCACTGAATATATTCAAATGATCGTTTCCTCAGTTCTGAAAATACAGTCCTGCCTCAGTAAATGCGAGACCGTGAGACACTGCGCTCTGCAGGAAAGGAGGAGAAGTCCCCCAAAGAGAAGCAGCAGCTGCTGTGGTCGCTGAACCACAAGCTTCGGTGGGCGGCTACTCTTGGAAAATGTTTTGTATGTCAATTTTGAGAAGGTCAAAATTCCTATGAATGTTTAATCTGGCCTATTTGTTAAAAAGTCGGTGTCATTATTCTAGTTATCCCTTATTATTAGGATGAGCACAAACGGACAATGAGTTCACTGTATGATGAGGCAAGCAAAGTCCAGGGGACTAAACGATGAATTCTCGTTTGTATGCCCATCACCATCTTGAAGGGCAGTGCAATTTACCTTCACTTTCTGTTCCTCTTATTCTTCTATCATAGAAGGTCCAGTTTTTCATGGTCCATTTAGTTTTACGTAAGTGTCCTCCCCTAATCTTTTAACGCCAACGTAATTTTTTTTGACTAGCACAGGTGAATTTCAAACTACCTGAATGCTGAAAATCCCTTCATTTGTTAGTTAATTTTCAGATCAGGTTAGCTAGAGAATACTCTCTGAATTATAATTAAAATATAAAAATCCAATGGAATTGATAAAACTATGGTCAATTCGCCTGTCTTCTGGCAAAAATCTGAATGGAATTAGCAGACTTGCTCAAAGGAAGTTTAGTGCATTATCTTCCCTAATAAGCTAGTCTCTTTCCAAAAGGTAATATACATCAAAGCAGTGTTTCACATTTTAATATGGCTTTTCCTCTATGTTTTGGTTTAAAAACTAAAACCAAGAACTTACTGATCTTAGTTTTGGGGGTGCATAGGTAAAAAAGTCCAGGAATACTTTATGCACCAATGAATGCTTAATCACAGCTTCCCTGAAAACAGAAAAAAAGAAAATACATCAGATCCGGCACTACAGTAATCTGGATACAGGTAACCTTGGTTGTCCTAAAGTAATTAAAGCAAGTGAAACGGTTTTAGGAAATGTAATTTGTCATAAGATAGACTATATCTTTCAGCAACACTAAGATTTTTTTTAAAAAAACTTTTAGACTATAAATAATATCTTTTAGTGCTACCTATAACCAAAATCAGAGTCCAAATTTCTAGTATCTAATCAGCAAAGATGAAATCATCATTCAAAATACACTCTACTCTCTTAAATAAGGACATCTGTATTTTTTTTGCCAATAGACACATGATTAGAAATCCATGTGGACCTATTTTTTTATAGCTATTTTCTTTCTGTCAAGCACCCTTCACAATGCACCAGTTTCATACAATAATTTTAGCAGAATTAAAACCTGAATAGATCAAACAGTGTCAGCAACTGCAACACCACCTAATGGACCCCAGCCTTGTAGTGCGACACCTGGTGAATTCAGGTGCACAGTGGAGGCTGATCAGGCACCAAAGACTTTAAGTTCACATGGAGTATCCAATTAGATGGCAAAAACATGTTGCCTTTTTGTTCTGAGTGTTTTGAAAATATTAACCCATTTAATCTTCATAAAACTCTATGAAATATGTACTATTATTATCTCAACTTTATAGATATGGGAACTGAGGCAGAGAGGTTAAGTGGCCCAGGATCACACAATTAGTAATTGAGGGGGGCACCAGGATGCACAACCAGGCCGTCTGGTCCCAGAGGCTACGCCCTAACCACTCCACTATGGTACAAATGCCAAGAAGGCCACACGCCCGGGCTTCTAAGTCTTAACAATCCAACTTAAATAACAGATTGTGTTCGTGCAACTATCCACCTTTTCTATGCAAGGTTATAGAAAACTATCCTCCTTCAAATGCCACTTGTTATGAAGAGATAAAAAAAGGCTTTCTTACTTTTGGGCCATTGGAGTTAAAATCTGTTTCATTTCATCCATGATAAGCTCTAGTTTTTCTGGCTGTACCTCTAACACTTTGTCCAGAGTTGGGTGATCTGCTGACTGCAACAAAAGAAAAATGAAATCCCTCTAAATGTAATCATGTTTCTTCATCTTCAGAACAAAGAAAATCAATTACAGTCATTTTAAATAAACAATATAAATTTCAGATTTCCCAAATTCACATAACTAAAGCCCTGCTGTAGGTATACTCATGGAGTTTTTTTTTTTTGAAGAACATTGGCCTTGAGCTAACCACCTGCTGCCAATCTTCCTCCTTTTTTCTTTTTGTCTCCAAAACCCCAGCAGAAAGTTGTATGTCATAGCTGTACATCCTTCTAGTTGCTCTATGTGGGATGCCACCTCAGCATGGCTTGGTGAGCAGTGCATAGGTCCGAACCGGCGAACCCTGGGCCGCTGAAGTGGAGCGCACAAACTTAACTGCTATGCCACCAGTTAAGTGGCATAGCACTTAAGCCTTAACGAGGCCAGCCCTTTATGGAATAATCCTTGATTATCTGATTCTCAGTCTATTCACCCACCAATGTATTTAAAGAGCCAGGCTAAACAACTAATCAACTCAACCACCCAAAAGGTATTTGCCACGCACCTAACACATGCCTAATCATAAGATCAAGTAGTCAAGTTCTTGCCACCATGTATTTTGTAATTAACTGGATATTCCTACACTGTCTGTTACCAAAGAAATAGAGCACTAAATTCAACCCAGGAAATGAGCCTGAAAAGTGGAGGCAACCCAGGAATTAATCCATATCCCTGGAGATAAATGTGTGCATTTATGTCGCAAGGTCTGAAATAGACCCTTTAACTGTCCTAGTCCCACTAGTGGCCTTCTTCAGATTCAATCTTTGTAGTATATCCAAGGTTGGGTCTCTCTACGCCCCTTCCTCTCTAGATACAACCCAGAGAAGGGTAATCCACACACATGAGGAAACATGGGAGAAGGTAGCAACAGGGGGCCCAATGCACTTCAGCCAGAGCTGGTTAGTAGGTGGTTACAAAGCTTCACTAACTATTCAGAGTCTTCTACCTTGGTCTATCCGACTGTAGAAATGGAAGTACTGAAGCATTACACAGAGCACCTGGGAGGGAGTAACAAAAGTAGTTGAATTTAAAGGGGATTAAAGATAGTGCTCTGGGAGAAAAAGGAAGTATGATCACTTGCTCACTACATCAGAGACAAAATAATCCAAGAGAATAAAGGGTATGAGACAGTCTCTTAAAGGATCAGCCAAAGTAAAAATACATTCCGAAAACAGGGCATTGGAAGGTAAGGAATAGCATACAGAAAAAGTAAAAACTAGAAAAAATGTCTCAAAATGTCACCTTGTAAAGCTGAAACGTGTTCCCATAGAGCTCCTCTGTCAGCATGTTCCTCTGCTCCAAAATGGCTTTGTCATTGTATGCGTACTCCACGATGGCCGATGCTTCTGCATGTCGGAGCATCTTCCTCACGTGGCCTTTAAAACTTTTCATTATCTCTGCAATCTGTGGTTTACTCCTAAACCAAGCCGATCATGGGAAAAGATGAGTGATAGAAGGAGAAAGCTAGATGTCAACAAAACATAATTTGAGACCAACTCATCATTGTATATGTATGGGGGTGTGGGGAGTCCTATCACAGAGAAATGCTTAGGAGAAGGAAAATCAAACTGACTTGTGTTTCTACCTCAAGCTTTCGAAGGTACTCAGTAGCCAGCCGGCCTAGGTTTGAAATCTGGCTTTTCACACCCGCTGAATACACTAAGGAAGTCATTTAACTTCTCTGTGCCTCAGCTTCCTCATTCACAAAACAGAAAGAATCAAGTTGATGTGAGGATTAAACGAGTTAAGATGCACTGAGACCTGTGACCAGCATGTAGTAAGTGCTCAATAAACGTTAGTCCCTGTTATTAAACTGTTTAGCTTGTAAAAAGCAGGATCAGAGAAAAGGAGAAGGTAAAAGTCAAAGAGGTAGGGAAATTTGAATAAAACATATTCTAGGATTCTCTTTTAAAACAGGACTTAATCACAAGTATTCATATTATATCCTAAAATAATCAAGCAGCTGATAATTATAGCTAGGAATACAGTTTTTGAAAACTTTGCCAACAGTACTTTTTTGTTGTTAGCATATTTTGGGACGTTATTACACTCCAAAGGAGAAGTCAAGACAAATATCGATTCTACCTAATTTAGGAAATCCTCCCATCTTGACATTTCCTAACCCAGTGACTCTGCCTCTGAGTCTACTCACCTCCCCTCCCAACTCTCTAAACACTGGTAACTAATTACAAGTCAATTACTCCATATCTCTTCTTCCAGGGCTTCAAGATAGACTCCTAAGAATGGTGAAGGCAGTACCATCATTTTACATTCATTTCAATAATTGTTTTTAAGACCACACTCCCCAGAAACATGACAAGCATCTGCTGAGTGCCATTATTACGATCATAGACTTTTAAGTAACATTTGTGCACAACTGGTATCCACACTTTTAAAAAACTAATAAAAATATATTCTACAAATAAAAAAACTCACCCATACATGAGAAATTTCTTAACAATATTTCTGGAATATTTAGCTTTACTTAATTCAACCAAATCACCTGAAAAACAAAATACATTACAATGATTTGACTACCTCATTTTAGTGCTCCAGAAACAAAGGAAAGAACTAAATAAGTACACAACCCTGGGAACACAGACAAATAACTATTTGTCCCCAGCAAATAACAAATAAAAACAAAAGAGGTCCTGCATAGGACACATAGCTTTCCCACAAGAGAATTATTTTCCAGGACAGTCTTGGGTATTTCAAGAGAAAACAAGTGACTTATTACAAATAACTACAATTAATCTTCAATATATAAGAAATACCTCGCAGTTCTTCAAAAGCCTGTTTTCTCTGTTCTTCATTACCATACTGAATGTAACACTGGATCACACGAGTTGAATCATGTGCAAATGCAATCTGTAGGAAAGACAGTTTGGGCCTTGAGACTAATTCTCTGAAGATTTACGTTTCTATCATGTTATTTATGATTTACTGCTACGTCTTTTAGAATTCCTTGTTAGAAACAAAACAGGGTCTTCATGGATAAAATCAAACCTAGGTTAGTTGGGAGTAGACATAGTTATTTTAACTGCACAGAATGATGTTCTTTGATTTTGTTACCTACCCTACGGCATTGAGACAGGACACATTTAACCATTTTGCAAGATTCCTATCATTCTAATTAAAACCAAATCAAACCAAAACTGTCTAATGATTATAGACACTATACACACTATGATTATACACACTATATTTCTCTGAAAGTTACTTTCCCTAAAAGGGGAATTTTCCAATTCAAAAATTATGATTTTTTTAATATAAATGATCTCAGAATGTTTGGCTTTGGCAACTAAAGATATAGATATTAGATCTAAAAGTCTTGCTATATGAATACATCCATACACACATTGCAATTATATAATAAGCTAATCAGTCAAATTTTCACATTTTCATTATAATCCCTGAACACGTATCCAGTTATAGTCTCAGAAAAGTTGTTGTATTGCAAATCTGATTCTCCAACCCAGTCCCCCATCACAACTATTAGATGGATTAGATCTTTACTGAAGGACTCGCTGATCAATTGTCTATAGTAATAACCACAAATAATCAGCCATGCAAAATTATTTCTTACTATGCTATAGTACCAATCTACTTTAAAAGTGCTTATTATTTGTTGCTCAGTCTGTCTTTAAAATTTTTTAATTCCAACAAATCAGAAGGTGAAGGTACACTTCCATCAAAGTCATGGATTTCAGAAGAAATTCCTTAAGGGAGATTTGTATAGATTCCTTTGATAACACTAAAAAATTTGATAACACTAAAAAAATTCTTTTTAATAAGATTGTTTTATGCATATACTTTTCACCTACTATATAACCAATATATGTGCTTTAAATATATTTTCCTCATTTAGACCTCAAAGCAAGAGTGGGCTGTTGTTAGTCCCACTTTACAGATGAGAAAACTAAGTTCATGAGAAGTTATGGAACTTGCTATTCCTGTGACCCTGGGAGGAAACTTAACTTTTATGAACCCCAGATGTATCAAATGTCTAATAGGGATGATGACATTAAGTTAAAGGAGACAACGTATGCACTGGTTAGCACAACTCCTAGCACACAGTAAATAATCAGTGAATAGGCTGTTACTGTCCAAAGGCACATACATTTTAAGCAGCAGAGTGAGGATCTGAATTCCAGACTAACTCCCAGGTCCTTGAGCATGCAGTAATAACCTAAGGGTAGCTGGGAAAGGATCTTGAGTGTAAAATATTTATAAATTGCAGATAACAGACTACTCTGGAGTAGAGGAGGAGTTTTATCCTAAAAAAACGTGTGCTGGATTTATAAGCAGCAGCTGGGAACTTCCTATTTCAGGATATTGCTCCAAACTGCAATATAGCGTCTGGTTAGACCGATATACATGGTTTGGCAAAGGCTACCCCTCCAGGGTCCCCAAAGCTACTGAGTCTGTCGTCTTACAAGTGAACAGTCACTAAGTTTTATCCAAATACACAAGACTCAGTGGAAGTTTATTATAAAACAGGATTGAACAGCAACAATGAAAATTACTTCAGAACTCCTAAATCTATTGTATTTTAAAGATCTTTGCCTGATGTTTATAAAAGCAAGGAAGAAATGAAAGAGGTAATCATATGTTTATATCACACAAAAAAAGCCAGCAATTTAATGGAGTTCAGAGCAAAACAATCAATACTACTGAACTAATAAATTCCTCAAGATAACTTTAAAGAACACTGATTTATTTTAAGTAAATTATTTTAAAAAATGACACAAATACTTGATAGTCTTTTCACAATTTCCCAGCAGTAAGCTCCCTCATTATTAAATTTTTTGTCTAGTCAGTATTATAAAAGGCATTAGAAGTTTTTGGCCAGAACATTTAAAACAACAATTTCATCTGTCATTGTCAGCTACCCTTTACTGAGAGTGAGTCAATTTCAATTGTTAAAACTGCAACATCAGTACGTCCTACTTACAGTTTTAATTTTTCCTTGAATCAACTTCTGCAAATCACTCATCAACTTCACTCTTTTTTCTTTGTCACAGTCTTTTCTATAAATGAGAAAAGAAGGAGGAAACATGGCTTAAGTAAAGACATTACTTTAAACACAGAAACTAAAAACCGTAACAGTACACGTTCACCCAGTTCAGTAAGATTTTCTCTTCGAAGGCAGCAAAGCTCTGACATTAAAATTACTGCTCCAGAGCAGCCAGAGAAAAGTAATTTTCTCAAAGGCAGAAACTCATCTCACAAGGTATAATTTTAGGCATCAATCTAAATCTTAACAGCCAGAACTTCGAAAGTAAAGAAAATAATAAAACAAGTCCAAGATACCAAACACTTAAGTACCTCAAAACCTAGCCGATAAGAAATTATCTTTCATTTTCTCAGAAATCTCTCAAGAAGGATGTCAAATCCATTTTAACTCTCATACATTTTCATAAACATATCTGACACCATCCTAATGATTCCACACTTTTCTGCAATGGGCAGACTCCCAAATACCAATGTCTCTACTGGAGTGTTCTGAATACTCCCTAAATAACTCAAGTGCTATGTCATTTATTTTGGGACATCTCACTGTTTACAAGGCACACTGTTACTCCTCCATCATCTCAAAGGGACTAATAAAGATGCCATTAGATAGTATTACCTTCTTAAGATCTCCCAAATCTGCTTTGCCCGAACAACAATGTCATAGTTGGTTTTATCATTGAGTTGCCTGCTCTGCTTCAGTTCTTTCTTCTTCTTTTTGAAGTCATCCCATTTGGGTTTCTTGGCTGCTGAATCTAGTCATTATAGAAATTATTTTCAATTACATTTAACCTTCTGAGTGCCGAAAACAAGTATAAATTAGGTACATAGGGCAATTACTAATCAGGATCTATACGCATTGTGGAAAATAGAGGGGGAAAAATATCATTCCCTATAAACTTATACTTTATTTCACTTTCTGAGCAGTTTATATATTTTAAATTTGGTTGAAACTAATCATTCATTCATTCAACAGCTATTTATTGATTCTTTTTTTTTTTGTGTGTGTGACGAAGATCAGCCCTCAGCTAACATCCGTGCTAATCCTCTTTTTGCTGAGGAAGACCGGCTCTGAGCTAACATCTATTGCCAATCCTCCTACTTTTTTTTTCCCCCAAAGCCCCCCAGTAGATAGTTGTACGTCATAGTTGCACATCCTTCTGGTTGCTGTATGTGGGACGCGGCCTCAGCATGGCCGGAGAAGCGGTGCGTCGATGCGTGCCCAGGGTCCGAATCCCAGGCGCCAGTAGGGCGCGCACTTAACCGCCAAGCCACGGGGCCGGCCCCTATTTATTGATTCTTAACAGGATATCTATTAAGAAAAAAAAGGAAACTAAAATGATTGTAAAAGCAACTGAAAAATTTTAAGTATCTTTTTCAATTGTAAAATAAAATTCTACTTTAGAACATTAAGATCATTGGACTTTAGGTATACTCAGTTCTCAATGGAAACAGAAATTAGTCCAAATTAAAATAGAAAAAACAAAACAATGTATTCAAAAACACACTATTCTGAGTACGGTTACATATTAAGTCACTTAATTCCTACAACAACCCTACAAGGTGGGCACTAGTATTATCTACCCTTTATGTACCAAGCAGTTAAGTTCCTTGTCCAAGGTCACACAACTCATAAGTGGTAGAGCCAGGATTGAAACCCAGAGATGACTCTGAAACTGTATGCTCTGCTGACTCTTACTCATGACAATACATAATCAAAATTTCTATGTTCTCTACAAGCAGAGTAATGTTATAAAAGTTGAGTATCCTTCTATTAATACTTTTTTTGTCCTCAAAATCTAAATAACTTACCAATTAAACCAAAAAGCCCAATAAGGCCCAAGAACAAGTTAATAAAATGGGTATGATTTACACAAGCATCCTGCAAAGAACTCTTTGCAGAATTAGTTATTTCTAAATATCTGCCTTTATCTGACAAGAAAATACACTAATCTTAAAAAACCTGGAAAATGCAAAAAACAAAATTCTCCAATAATCCCCACATCTAGACATAACCACTAACATTCTATTTCCTTCTTGCCCTTTTCCCTATGCATGTTTTAATCTTCTTTTAAAACACAGAATCTTACTGTCTTCACTTAAACATTATGTTGTGAGCATTCTTCCATAAAACTAAATATTCCTCAAGAACATAATTTTTAATAGCTATACAATATATTACAATGTACTTAATTACTCCCCTTACTGTTTACTTATTTATTCCCTGCCTGGTAATAGAGGATTATAGGCAACAGAGGGCATATTTACCATGAATAATTAGGGCATCATGTACTATACAGCAGAGGATAATATCTGATCCAGAGCTCATTTAACTCCACAAATATTTGGGCCCCCTTGACATATGGCATGCTAGGTGGCAGTAGATATACCAACTTTGGGGATGTCTAGTCTCCAGTCCCCCTCAGTTGCTGGCACAAAAATATGAGAAAATAAAATCAGAGTTCCATTTTGAGATGTCAGGAACATATCTCCCACAGCAGAGGAACTGGGGCTACAGCACGACAGGATCTGAATGTGAGAATGTGTGTTTAAAATGCAGGTGTCAAGAACTCCAGTAGAGAGAGGAAGATTCAGGACCTATGAGAGAGGCCAGGAAAGAGAAGCTGGAAGAGAAAACTGCTGCGGGGGTGGGGTGGAGAGAAGGAAGAGGAAGAGAAAAGGATTAAGAGAAACACGGGGGCTGGAGCATAAAAGGATCCTACAGGCCTAATGAGAAACAATGAAATTTTCCCTTCCTTCCTCTCTCCCCACCTCCCTGTCTTAAGGCTGCTGTCCCAGTAACGAACAGCCCTATGCAGAGAACAGAGCAGGGACAGGGCTAGGGGACTGGACTGAGAAGGCCCCATGGCAGTGGTCTCAGTTGGCAGCAGAGAAGCAGTGTTAGGATATGCCATGTTGAAGAAAAAGAATGAAAGACACCAGAGAAATTTCCATGATGCTGCAGAGAAGGTATATATATGGCAGCACACGTAAACTGGAAACTGCTTGTTTGAGACCAGTGCAAGACAATGTACAAGATGGGCATGGTGTATGATAGACAGCAAAGCTCTGGGTTAGAAATGACCCCTCGAACATCATGATAAAGAGATTAGCAGGGTGCTCCAATAGACAAATAGGAGCTCTGTCAACATGTCCCATTAGTTAACAACTTGTCCAGCACCAATTAAAGTAAAATCTGTCATATGTAAACTACACCTTTTCTGGAACTGCCTACTGGATCCGAGCCATCCAATGGTTTTAAGGGCAGGGTCTCTATGTCTCTTGTTCACCAAGGCATCCTTTGCCAAGGCAGTTATCTAGCTGAACACACTGGTTATTTAAGGCTAGCTTCTATGCTGATTAGTCTGGGCCTGTACTCTTACTGGTGGTTAATTTATTCCCCCATGTCCTAGCACAGTGCATAGAAGACTCAAATATTTGTTGAATAAATGAATAAATAAACGTATTTTGGCCTACAGAAAGGAATTTTATTGAGGAGTTTCACTGAGGTTCCATTGTACGAAGCCATTACAACTTAGCCTAACTCCACAGCTAGGGCAATCCAGCAAGGGCCTAGGAGATAAGGCACTCTAAGCACCAAGGACAATTTTGACCAGGGAAGATGCTTTCTGCTGCAATAGCTCAGGCAAGGCTTTGGCAAAAACTATCCAGACAGAATCAGCGCTTACCATCACTTGTATTGTCCGCCTGGAATTTTCTCTTCCTGTGGAATTTATTTGCCTGCTGGAATTTGTTCTTTGGTATTTTATCCCCTTGCTGCTTGTTTTTGAACTGCTTCACACCTTTTTTCCCTGGTTTTGTGGCACTTTTCTCAAAGTTCTTAGATGTAATTTTAGGTCCACCTTCCTTAACAACTTTTCTTGGGAAGGTCTTTGAAGAACCAGAATCTAGTGACAAAAATAAATAATTATTAGTTCAATGATCCTAGGCCTAAATCTCTTTTATCTACTAGGTTGTATTTGTTTCAGAAAATTACATGCTCTTGAGTGAAACATACTTTGTCTTACCCTCAAAATATGGAGCAGAGTGGGATTTAAAAAATCGAAACAAAATATAAAAACTTTCTCTGACTATAAAATTATAATACAGGTTCATTTATAGAAAATATAGAAAGTTGAGAAATGCATAATAAAAACTACTCATAATTCTAGAGATAACCAGTTGTGGGTCTGGTGTATTTCTCTGTTTTAAGCACGCAGTAGAGATATTATTTATATATCTTTGTATTCTACTTTAATGACTCCATTAAAGTCTCTACACATAATTTTCAATGGTTCAATAACACAATAGGGGTCTAAGAATAAAATGAACACTTGAAATTTAGAAAGTATATCACATAGACAAAAATATTAATTTTTCAAAATTTCTAGCTTCGAAAAAAATTTTTCAAAGTCTATAATAAAGGTATTTGATAAAAATCTTCTTTGGTCAACAAAGCCTGCAAATTAAATACCTAACAAATGAGATGGAAACTGTAGCAGCTATGCCCTAAGACCGCTCCAAGGAAAAAAAACAAGATTGCTTAGGAAACAGTCATTTATAGTCCCTGACTTTTCTATTTTGCAATACTGACACCTGATGGAATCATAAAGACACCACAATTAGCAATCTTGAAGATAAAAGTATTTGGTTTACCAGTAGTACATATTAATTAGCCATAATTTATCAAACATTAAAATAAAATGTCGTGGTGAATTAGTGTGACTGAAAGCAGGCAACAGCATCACTAGCTGAGATGAGGGGTCTTCGGTGAGTGCAGGATCCAACTATCCTTGTAATTTCTTAAATGTCTTTAAATTTCATGGGGAACATGCCAACTCATACACAATAACACCTACTTTTTTCTACTACTTTAATCCTAATCCTAACCTATGTACGCAGATAGGAATCTGCTCCATACCCTCTCATCCCACCAACCCCTCCCTCCAATGATAAGGGCCAAAACAACCACATGGGAAGCATGTTTTGGTATGGCTATCTTACCATTGTTTTTATGAAATCTGTTTTTTTCTTGTGATGTCTTTGTACCTTTTCCTGTGAATTTTTTTTTCCCTTTAACTTCCATCATAGCAACTCTGGAAAACAAAAACAAAACCCAAAAACAATCACTGAGTTGCTCTCACTCAATAAGAGTCATTAAGTAGTCACTGCCACATTTAGTCCTTGAGTTTCATAGGTGCAGAACCAATCACATGGGTACAGCATGGGCACCCACACAAGCTCAGGAACTACACAATCATTTCTTCTAAGATTTTAAAACTGAAAATAAACAAGATACCAACACAAAAACTAAGAACACGCACACGTTGGCTAGCATGTGATGTATTTGCAGGCAACACTTCAGCAACAGTATTGGCTAAAAATAGACCATTATTTGCATTAAATATGATGCAGATGTCGGAGTTTGTGTTTCTTGTAACCTGGGAAGAATCTGTGATAAGAAACTGACAATACTACCATTTGATTTCTGGGTCTTTATCCTAAAAAGCCAGGAACAAACAATAGGTTGCACTTACCATACATTCAAATTTAATGAAAGGAAAGATAAACAAATGAATATTTAAAAGTTCCCTATGTAGCCCAATGTAGCTAAAACAAAGACTAACTTCAAATATTTAATTTGTTATTCTTTTAGAGGCAACCAAGTTAATTTTCGGTGACCTCCAAAATAAGATTATGTTGAAATATTTAATATTTCATTTTGAGGCATCTGCCTAACACATCACTTCTGGGTACAGAGACCCCCTAGTGCACAGGGCAGACAACAGATAATCCCTCACCTACCCAAGGCTCCTGAAAGCAGTCGAACGCATCAAGAGAAAGAGTCATTTGGCTACTGCTCTACCTTCCAAAGTGGTACATTCAACTCATTTCTAAATTTCTAAAGCTGACCCTCTAGAGTAGATGTTAGGGATCCCTAGACAATACCAGATATTTCTAGACAGGAATTTTCCATTGAAGAACAACTAATTTCTCAAGATATTAATAGGTATAAGAGAAAAGGGGTTCCAGGATGAAATATATTTGGAAAATAGTGAGTTAAATGAAAATAATTAACTAGGCTTCTTTAAGGAAAGGCTTTTCAGAGTCCTTTAATTTACCAATTTACGCCATCACTCACCAAGCACAGGCTAAAGTATGCAGGATTTTCCACCCCGAGTTGAACTACTTTTTCCTGGAACATCTCAAGGGACCAGTAGGGTTCCAAAGAACTCTCCGGAAAATGCAGCACTAGTCTAGGCTTCACTATTACAATTCTGAAAAATGGATGGCCCCTGAATTACTCAGTTTCCTTAGGTCATTTATGACTGTAGGGTCACTTACTACTTGGCTAAAGTCACCGTAATCATATCTGCATCTCTTAGCTCTTCTGTGCATATAGTTTTCTAAAAATCCATTCATTTACACATTTTCTCTGTGTATTTGTTTTAACTTTTTATTTTGAAATAACTTTAGTTTTACAGAAGAGTTGGGAAAGATATACGGGAAGTTCCAGTATAGCCTTCACTCAGCTTCCTCTAATGTTCAAGTCTTACCACTGTGCATTTGTCAAAACTAGGAAATAACATCAGTACAATACTATTAACTTTGGATTTCGCCATTTGTTCCAATAATGTCCTCTTTCTGTTTCAGGACACATTGCATCTGATCATCAAGTCTCCTTAGTTTCCACCAATCTGTGACGGTTTCTCGATCTCTACTTGTTTCTCACAACCGAGATTTTGAAGAGTACTGGTCACGCACTTTGTAGACCCTCATTTGGGGTTTGTCTGACGTTTTCTCATGATTAGACTGGCGTTACGGATTTTCTGGAAGAATACCATGGAGACGAATCATTACATCATGTTAGGAGGAACATGACATCAACGTGACTGGTGATATTAGCCTTGATCACTTGGTTAAGGTAGTGTCTGCCAGGTTTCTCCACTGTTTTTCTTTCCATACGCTATTTATTAGAGGCAAGTCACTAAGCTCAGCCCAAACTCAAGAGGAGGGGAATTAAGCTCCACTTCCTAGAGAGAGGAGTATTTAATAATTTGTTAAAATCTATTTTATCAAAATCACCGCAGCAATTAATATATATTTTGGGCGATGTATTTTGAGATTATGCAAACACCCTGTGTTTCTCCCACTGATTTTAGCACTCTCGGGTGGGTCTTGCCTGCAGCAATTACTGTGGTGTTTTAATGGTGATTTATTATTTCCTTCATTACTTCGACCTTTATTATTCTGAATCCTTCTGTGGGGAAAATTTGTTCCTTCTTCCTCACTTATTTATTCAATCATTTATTTACATCAGTATGGCCTCATAGATATTTTATTACTTGGCTGACAACCTAACACTACGATTATTTTGTTGCTCGAATTGTTCCAGCTTTGGCCAGTGGGAAATCTCTCAGGTTGCTCCTGTGTCTTTTTGACATGGTCCATCCTTCTGTTTTTAGCATGCCCTTATTTGCTTGCTCTTATTCCAAGTTCACCTTGTGTTTTCCCTGCACTGGCCCTGAAATCAGCCATTTCTCCAAGGAACCTTGTTTCCTTTTATTGAGAATGGCATTTAAAAACCAGGATCTGCGTGCCACATATGCTTGTTAACACTGGGGTGTCACTGCTTCTAGGTCCTTTCAGCAGACATGGCTGGGTAATCTGTGTATGTATACTAACCTATATGTACACACAAACCTGTGGTTCTGTATCTATCTATTAAAAAAGTTCATACTCATGTCTCCAACTCTAATCAAGTGCCACAGGGTTCACTCCCATCTTCCTCTCTTGCTTATCTGTAGCTTCCTTCTCTATAGTGAGAAACTTGCCTCCCAGTATCTACAATTTATTTGGTATTGTTCCACTCTAGCACACATGGAAAGTAATTTCAGAATTGCTAACCTGTACAGGTATGAGAAACAAATTTATCAAATATAGTACACTGTTTACTTACAGTTCTTTTTGTGTTTTCCCTCACAGTGGCCATTCAAAACACTGTTTCCAAAGTTACTTAGGTCAACTCTCTGTCCCCACCTTCTTCAGTGAGGTTCTTTTACACATTTGTACCAGTTAGAGTCATTTTGTCCCAGTCTGCATTCCACTTCCACTTCCAGACCTGTGTTTTTCCACCAGCACACAGTCTAGTTCCATCTTCTGGGTGCACAGTGCTGAATGTGACAAATGCAGAGCCACGTCTCCACCACCACCCTACAGAACTATTCCATAACTCCAAAAAGTCCCTCTTTAGTCCCTTTATAATCATCCTCTCCTGGCTCCCCAGGCAACCACTGATCTGTTTTTCGATCCCTCTAGTTTTGTGCCTTTTCAAAAACGTCATATAAATGGAATCAGATAATATACAGACTTTGGGGTCTTGCTTTCACTTAGCAAAATGCACTTATTTGCTTGAGGACCCTGTACCCTCATATCCAACTATCACATTCCAGTGTCTCTTGGAATTGTCTCCTTTTTCTATTCCCTCTATTATCCCACTCAGGCTCTTTATCTCTTGCTCAGATTAGTTTTTTTTTTTTTGCTTGAGGAAGACAGGCCCTGAGCTAACACCTGTGGCAATCTTCCTCTATTTTGTATGTGGGTCGCTGCCACAGCATGGTTTGATGAGTGGTGTGTAGGTCCATGCCCAAGAACCAAACCTGCGAACCCCGGGCCAACGCAAACTTAACCTCTACACCACTGGGCCAGCCCCTGGCTCAAATTAGTTTTTACCATTAGACCCAGTCTGCTGTGATGCACTTTCCACTGTCTGATTAATCTTCCACTAACACCCCTATTTCATGCCATTTCCCTGCTCTGAGAAGTTCAAAAGTTTCCCACTGCCCACAGGAAAAATCTCAGACTCAGCTGACATTCACAGCCATTCAAAATGTGGTCCTAACCTACCCCCATCACAAATACCACACTGAAGCCAAACTTACTTTCTCACAATTCTTTCTCAGGATCCAAACTTTAAAGCCACTCTCTCTATCAATATAAACCCTACCCATCCTTCAAATCCAGCTCAAAGGACAATCATTTCTCCACAGGCCTCCCCTTTCCCAAATGATTCTCCTCCTTATTCCAATGGCACATTTTGATGGCGTTCTTATAACTTAACACTTTTGACTTGAAATGTATTGAATACCTACACACTAGGTACTAGAAAGCTATTGGCTTGAAAAAAATATACAAAAAAAATTAAAGTGTGGTATATTTGAGGAGACAAGCAGATAACTAAAACACAACGTAATTGAGCGTTATAACTGAAGCATATATAAAGTATTCAGGGAAGCACAGGGCTGACAGAGACCAATTCTGCCTTGTGAAGGTAAACAGCAGACTCCTCAGAGATGTGGCGACATCTGATCGATCCTTCTTTACTCCTCTCAGGAGACTTAGCAATGAGCTTTGAAAGTAGTAAACACTGAATATCCAACCCCTAAATGCTGGCATTCCTCATATCTTCCCCCCCTCTCTCCACACTTCTCCCTAGGTGACCTCATCCAATCCCATGGTTTTCTATGTTGAGGACTCCCAAACTATTTCTCCACTAGGAACATCTCCTTAGGCTCCAAACCTGTGTATCTAACTGCCTACATGTCTGTTTCTATGTCTAACAGGCACCTTATATGTAATAGGTTCAAAATATATCATTCTTTAACTAGATCTCCATTGCAAACCACCTCCAAACAATAACATCCTCTTCTGTTTTTCCCCACCCTCTTCTTCCCCATCTCAGCCAATGGCACATCACCCATTCCGCTGCTCAAGGAAGAAACCTAAGATTTACCTTCGACATTTTCCTCTCCCTTGTCTGCTACATTCATTCAATCCTGCAGTAAGTCTTCTTGAATCTCTTTTAAAAATACCTCTAGCCCTCCAACTTCCGTCTCCACTACCACCACCCTAATCCAAACCATCATCAATAATCTCCAATTATATAATCAATAATAATCCAAATTGTATACATTTTCTAAAGAGAACCAGGGCCTATCATGTTTCTGCCTTGTTTATAAGCCTTCAATGTTTTCTAGAAATGGGAACCTATTCCCATTATAGAGAAAATCTAAACTCCCCACTGTGGTCTTCAAAGTCCTACAGAACCTCGTCCCACCCTACCCCTCTAACTTGATTTTGTATCGCTGTACTCCTAACTCACTACATTGGTCCCCTTTCCAGAGCTCCCACTTCACGGGATTAGCCCTAAATTACTATCTCTGCTTAAAGTAGTTTTCCCTGGCTTTCAGATTTCACGGTTGCCTCTAGTCATGCTTTAGGTCTCGGCTTAAAGATCACTTCTTCCGACTCCCCTATTCTCTAACAGACACCAGTTCGTTTCCTTCCCAGAGCTTATAACTTGCAACTGTACATGCAGGTTGTAAACGCAGACTCAGCACTGATCCGGCGCAGAGAGGATGTCTGTCCAACACACGACAGAAAGGCTGAACGCAACTAGCACGGCCCGGATTTCAGAACGTGAAGGTAGTTCAGGCTAACCAAGCACTCTCAGGGCAACGTGGTAGGAAAAGGAGCAGTAAACCTGCCCTAGTCGCCGGCCTCCCGTCAACCCCCAAACTCCAAAAAGAAAAGGCCACAGAAGATTGTCCAGCGGGTGACAGGTGTGAATACCTTTACCCTCTGGCAGCCCCGAGAGACCCTCCCACTGCCGCGCCAGGCATGGGGCGAAGCCCTCCCAGGAGCAGCCGCCAAGCCCACCGCACTCACCGCGCACGTGGGGCCTAGGCAGGCGCAGATCCCCGCTCCGCAGCCGCCGCTTCCGCTTCCTCGCCTTGCCCCGCCCCCGGGTCCGCTTTTTCCTTCTTCCGCAGCAGAGCTAGGGTTAAGCGGTGGGAAGTAGCCGGAAAAGCGGAAATTCGGCATTTCTATTGGTCCGCTTCTATTTACCTCATCTAGAGGCGCGAGGGCCCCGCCACAACACACGCTGTTTGGCCCTTGAAAGGATCCGTAGGGCGAGGACGTGTTAGCGGCTCCTGAAAGTGACGTCATTAACCCTGTCACTCCCCCGCCGTCGTAGAAACGGCGCTTCTCGCGAGGGCTGGCCAGTTTGTTGTTGAAGGGGAGGCTTAGTTGGTGCGGTTAATACTGTAGCCTGAACTAATATTAAAATAGCTAACGTCTTTACACTGTGTTCATTTGCATCCTCTCTGGCAGTCTAGTGTGGAGGATAAAAGCGATATCTCGGGAGTCGGTTTGAATTGTAATTCTGTCTTTTTCCCCTTGCTAGCTGTGTGGCTTTGGGCAAATTTCTAAATTTCTCTGAGCTTTAGTGACCTGATCAGTAGAGTAGATAGCTAAGTCATACAGGAAAGCGCTTAGCACAGTGAAGGATCATGAAAAGCGCTCAATGAACGTTTGCCCTTTTTAGCGTCTGCCCATTCCTTCAGACGGCAGTTATCCCATTTTCCATTTTAGCAAATGAGACTGTAGTTAGGATGTTATCCCCATTTTACAGATGAAGAAGCTGACACCACATACTTGCTCATGTCAAACAACAGAGTTTATTCTCTAACAGTTCTGGAGGCTAGAAGTCCAAAACCAAACTATTGGCAAGGTTATGCCCCTTCCGAAGGTTCTAGGGAAGAATGCTTTGCCCCTGCCAGCTGCTTCTGGTGGTTCCAGGTTCCTCGGCTTGTGGCTCCATGACTCCAATCTCTGCCTCTGTCTTCACATGGCCTTCTCTTCTGTGTCTTCTCTTCTGTTATGAGGACACCTGTCTTTGGATTTAGGGCTCATCAGGATAATCCAGGATGATCTAATCTGGAAGTCCTTAATTATATCTGCAAAGATCCTTTCCCAAGTACCGTCACTTTTGCAGGTTCTGGGGATTGGGACACTGACATATCTTTTGGGGGGCCCCCTGGAAAGTTGAGGAATCAGAACTTGATCCCAAGTGTGACAAGCGTCAGAGTTTACCGTCTTCCAACTCATACTGTTTCCTGCTCCTTAAGGCATGAGGCTTGAGACTGGTAAATCATTAGACTGTATGCTTCTTGAGAGCAGGGGCCATCCTTACTTCCCAGGCTATCCCACTACTCAGCACATAGATGTCAGATAAGATTTATTGTTGCCTTAAGTATTATATTTGCATTTCAGCTCATTTAAATCTCATAAGAACAGTTCAAGTAGGCCTTTTCCCTTCATTTTATGGAGAAAGGGGAAACATACCAAAGTCCTAAATTATTATTAATAATGGTATTTATCAATCTTCTGTGCTGTAAAAAGTGGATTGACTTGAGTGTTTTGTTTGGAGTGAAAGTATCTTGTGGTTTTGCAGAACAGCAACAAAAAAAGTTTATCCTATAATTTTGCAGTTAGCCAAGCAAGTTAAGCCCATTAATTCTTCACATATGTAATGATCTAAATGTCGAGCATTGTGTATATTCCTAGAAGCATAAAATGCTCTTCCTAAATGATATAGCATACAACTTAATCAGAGCAACTTCACTTGTACACATCCAGGAGATTTATAGCAATGTGATTAAGAGCATTGGTGTTGGAATCAAGCGAATCTGGATTAGAATCCAAGGCCTGTATGACCATAGGCAAGATAGTTAATTTGTATGGGCCTCAGTTTCTGCATATGTAAAAGAGAATAACAGCACTTATCTTTTGGGGTTGCTGTGTGGTTCAAAAATGATAATATCTGTAAAGTTATAGCCAATAGTAAATGTTAAGTGATTCATAGCTTGAGAGAAAACCAAGTGAATGTATAATGAATACACATTCATTCGAAATGCTGTTGGTTGCAAGTAATGGAAAGTTCAGCGATAGTGGCTTAAGCAATAATTTTCTTCACATGACAAAAATTCTGAAGGTAGTTGGCTGCTCTAGTTCAGTGACTCAAGGATGTCATCAAAGACCCTAGTTCTTTCACAGTTTCTCTGCTCCACCATCCTCAGGGTGTCGACTTTTCATTCTCACACATGTTGCTTTTCGTTTTGTTTTTCTGTGTGTACCTTTGGACCACCCTCACCCATTTCCCCCACCCCCCGTCCCCCCACCTCTGGCAACCACCAATCTGTTTTCTGTTTCTATGAGTTCGAGTTTTTTAGATTCCACGTACAAGTGAGACTGTACAATATTTGTCTTTCTCAGTCTGACTTATTTCACAGTTTCTTTCTGATTGCAAGATGTACTTCTCAGTTTCAGGATTTATATCAGACTTCAGGGCTAGGAGAATGGGGAAACGGATGAAATTCACTTTTTTTTTTTTACAGTGCCTGGAACTAGGTCACATGGCCACCCCCAGGATTGGAAGACCATTAGACATAATGTTAACCAGGCATTTGGATTTCTTTCTTTTTCCAATGCTCTAGTAAAATTAAAGATCACTTGGCAAATATACTTCCATCCAGCAGTAGAGATTTAATTTGTAATTTAAACTAATCTGGTTTAAAACTTAAAATAACTGTAGTATCCAAGGTGGTGGATCTCAGTCTTGACCACACACCAGAATAACCTGGGGAGTTTAAAAAGAAAAAAAACAACCACTAATTCTGATTTAATTAGTCTGAAGTGGGACCTGGGCATTGAGAATTTGGAAAGTTCCCCAGATCGTGCTAACATGCAGCTAAAATTAAGAGCTACTTGTTTAAGGAATCTAGTTCAAGTTGTTGATTTGATTTTCTAGTTAACTGAGGATTAAACCCTGTAACCTTCTGGTCCCTCTTTTGCAGTCACCAGAATTAAAGAATTAAAGGTATAACACACTTGTTTCTGTAAGTAGAATGTCTTGGACATCACTGCATCTTTCTTGTTGCCTGGGGTCTACTGAAGTGATTTAATATCATTAGATACTGAAAATGGTTTAAATTTCAACTATGCACTTGCAAATGTTTTCTGGAAAATGTTTGCTTTTTTTAAAAATTTCTCATGATTTTGTGCAATTTTTTTTTCATAAAAATAAAGTGTGTTAGGTATCAGCTCCCACACATCTCCCCTTCATAAAATCAGTTTTTAGAGTTCTAATTAATGGATTTTAACTAATTGGTGTTGTTTCTTTGTTTCCCAAATGCATAAGCAGAGATAAAGGGCATGTTATTGATATGAAGCATAAGTGAGATTTTGGCAAAGATTGGGTTTTATTTTCAGGACCTATTAGAATCATAAATCCATGGAAATGGAGCAGTTGCCAATACATTTTCCTTTAGTAAAAAAGAACCGCTTCTGAGTACAGTGGATTATGTTTTTCAATACCATAAATTTGCTAAAAAGTGCACTAATATAGTCTAAACATTAATTGCACATTCATAATGTTCTGGTTGCTGCCTAGTAAACACAAAATTGGCCTTGTCCTAATTTACTTGCTTTGATGACATGCTTAGGAGCAGCAGAAAAATCATATGACCAAAATGAAAGTTTATCTGATTGTGGCATAAAGTCCCACCTTTCATGAAAGATCATGTCAACATGTGATGGAGAAATAAAAATAAAATTAGTTAATATCGCTTAAAGCCCATGAATCATCATTTACACACAGAGCGCTTGCAAGGCACTGTGGTTTTATAAAACAAAGCTCCTCCAGCAGCATGCACCAGCTCCTGTTTCAGCCAGAATGAGAACAGTGGACATGTTTTTGGTTTAAGTTTTTGTGTAAATTTTGTTTTTAGTCTTGATAAGTATTTCCTTCGGAAAGTAGTCACTGGTTTTGGCTTGTGATTTCCTTGATGTATGAGCAATAAAGATTTGATAACCAAGCATATTAATAATTAATAATTTTCTATTTATTCCTCCCATTTTACTTTTTAAAACTATATAAAGTTGAAGTCAGGGCTTACAATGATGATCTAGGTCTACCTACCTACCCAACTTTCCTCCACCTTTTAAGATGAAGAAAAGATAGAATTAGGAAGCCAAGAAATGTATTGGGGGAAAAGCCTGTGAAAGACGAGGAGAGAGGGAGTAGGAGTAAGTGGGAAGAGCCTCAGACCAAAATACTGATCTGACACTTGTGAAGGGAGAGACAGAAGGGAGGAAGATGTGAAAGAAAGATCTTCGGACTGTAGTAGAGCTCTGAGGAAGTCTTGGCTAGGCCGACGTGGAGCTCCAGAGCAAAGATTGCCCATTAAAGGAGACCCAAGTTGGGTAGGAATGGCCTGGCTCTAGTACCCCTCTGTGCTCAATCACTGGGTGGGAGCAACCCAAGGAGAGCACGGCCTCAGCATGAATGCTGTGGTGGAGCCCAAAGTTGTGGCCGCTGAAGGCTGTCAGCTAACTTTACCTCTTGCAGCAGGTTGTCTCTTGAAAGGAGATCAGAGCAGTTTACTCCCCTGGCCACCAGAGACCACCCCTTGCACAGCACAGATCTACTTCTCCATCCATATTAGGGGAACAGCTCCTCCACCGTTCCTATGGCTCTCTCCTCCATAGGAGGGGAAAGTTAAAAGAGAGAGATTAGTGAGATGAACTAAAACCTCCTGGGGGCTGCAACAGATACTCGTCATTTCCCTCCTACACTACCCATTCTATTTTCACCTCATCCTCAGCTATTAACTTGGCAGGTCTTGGTGACACTGTTGGCTTGGTGACTTAAACCCTCACTCCTGAGGGATCTGAGACCCTGGTAATCATGCCCTTCTAAGGCAAGGGTTGCTACACATGTCCATTTACAGTTACAGTGGGGGCTAAGGAGTACTGAGAGGCACCTAAGTGGGTCACCTGGGCTCCACATTTATTCCTCCATGTTTCCATTGTATAAAAGCAGCCTACCTCCTCCTTGTGATCAGAGTTAATGACTCCTGCCAAAATGGTGGCTCCTCTTCTCACTGTTGGTCCTGGACACAACGAGTC